TATTTGAAAGAGATGCAGAAGGTTTGTTACATTTTATAAACACACGCACAACTCAACCATGGGTGCTGTGGTTAGAATACTGAATAAAGCTCACCTGGGTAGTATCACGTATAAGGAATTATGAATTTCGTTATATAAAGGGAGATAACTTTGAAATATTTGACGCTTTACTATTAAAGTGAGATATTCAACTGATCACAATTATGACAATGAGCAGTGGCTCACATAAATAAAATTCCGATATACCTTCACTCTTCTTACATTTTTTTCTATTAAACTAATTGATTACAAACAAAATCTAAACATAGTACAAAATATAGTGGACAAAATCAAATGGGACCAGCCATTCTGTTGTGGCATTTTCAGTGTCCATATTATGATTTATAAACACAATCAATTTCCGTTTGGCTCAGCCAATCACAAACATTCCAGGGTACACTACACCACTGACATGTAAAAATATGATGATGGGGTTCATGAGATCTCTTGCACCTTGCTTTTTTAATACTGACATATAACCATAATCTTTATCAAATGGATGTATACAATGTATAATTTAAAATAAGATGAAACCTTTACAACAAGCACTTAGCTATTACACTTCAACCTAATACCTTGTGACACAATGAGACTTGGATGACAGATAAAATAAAACAACGTCAACATGCAGGGATGATTTACTCAACGATACAATAAATAAATATCTGGGACTAGAAGTCAACAAATCCTATTCAGTGATATAACAATTTTAGATATTCTAAGATTTCTTTATACAGTTTATGGTTTCATACATTTATGATACAGAATCATTTAAATCTGTAGTAATTACAAGAGATCCCAAAGGGATCTTGGCGCCCACCATTTGAGGATCTGTTTTCAGTTCTTGATAATTTGTTTATTTTTTTTTGTGTGTTACAGGTGTTGTAAATGTTCATGAACTGGTCTTCATTGAATGTACTCAATGATGGCACAAGATATTTTTATTAAGCACCTATTAGCAAATATCATTTGAAAAAGATCCCAAAGTATTATTAGATATCAGTCAGTTACAGGTGGATAATGGACATGGTCTTGAATCAATATGATAGAATATCGAAGAAAATATGCGTGTGCTGTATTACTGTCGCCATCCAAGAAGGCTGCCTGTGGGCCACCTTGATTTCAAATCAGTCCAAAAAAGGTACAATGCACAACTAGGGACCAAGGGAAACCAATACCTATAAAATATCAGAAGGATCCATCCAGTACTTCCTCAGAAATAGCGGTAACAAGATTTTACTCTCAAAATCCAAGATGGCTGCCTTTCAGCCATCTTGATTTTGAATCAGTCCAAAAAAGGTACTAACTAATACCATACTTTAAACAAAAGCAAATTGGGAATGTAGAAGAGTAAATTTAGTAGTGACAATACATATTATATGTATGTAAAAACATTTGTAGTATTAAACATTGTAAACAAAACAAACAATGAAGTTTGAAAAAAGCAATATACTGCAAACCATTTTTCTTTCGTGTTTGGTTTACTGGCAGAGTTCACGATCACAACAAATTTGCGAAAGTAAATCACTGTCAAATAGGACAGCTGTTAAGAAGGAAAGTGAGAGTTAATTTAGTTAGTGAAATTCCATTACTGCGACCTAGTTGTGATAGAAAAATGTGAAATTTAGCAACTACAAAAATTGCTGGTTTACTCTACATCACTGAAAATGACATTACTTCAAAACGAAAGTAAGGGATGTGAAAGCATGTACATGTATTGGCATAATCACATCACATGTTTTATGACAAACAACACCTATAATGTATTTCCTGTTTCAAAAAAATGAAGTTGAAAAAATCAAAACATATACTTGATACCAAAATAAAAGCATCAGCATCACACAGATCAACATGAGTATATTTGCACTTTTTTTACAAATACTCATCATCATATACTCATAAAATTTTATTTATATGTGTTCTGAATAAATAATGCTTTAACAATGAGAGGAAAGACATCTGAAACAGTCATAAAAATAGATATATACATTGGGAGGTAAGTGTTATCACACCAGGTGGCAATCTTACAGAGTTATGTCGGTCTACAACAAGGTAAACATGTCTTACAATCTATGTATATACATTTCAAGTATCACCCAAACTTGTAGTATAAAAAGAGCTGAGAATGAAATGTAAACTTACAATAATACAGCTTGCCATCACATCAATCAATCTAGTAATGTAATAAGAGCTCATGCTTCAGTAACAGGAATATACAGACATATTATCAAAATCTTAATTTAAACACAAAATCGATGAAACAGGTGTAAAATATGGACATGGAAACATTTTTTACCCATGAAGATAAGATCAGGTCTTTTGGAAAAGTAGGCGTCGTTGTATTGAAACGTGATAATCATTGTGTGTTTCGAACAGTCTTCTGCTTCATCGATGATATCTGGCATGTAAATCTTCATCAATTAAGCTAATGCCATGACATGTTCAAAAATTTCATATGAAAACAGAAATAACAAGCATTGAATACAGTCACTTTCAACATTACCACAGAGACACAGGCTATTTCGGATTTCGCTATGAAAATTACATTTTCCATGACAGATATCAACTTTTTTAAGAACAAACCCTTAACAAAGTTTCATTTGAGCAAATTGACAAAACTGAAGATTGAATTGCATGATTTAGATTTAATTAGTATACCAAATCCAGTGTCCTCAATGAAATACCTCGTCTATAATTAACTCATTGTACTTTTTGTTCACTTCCCCTACATCACTTTTTCACATTCTATTTACATCTATGCCTTTAAATCAACACGAGTGACTAAACCAATTCAAATCACGTATCCCTGATTAAGGTACAAAGAGATAACTTTTAACTCTGAATTTGACCATCTTGTCATATACTGAACATTTTTTTTTCAGAACATAGCAGACTAAAATGAGCACAAGATATGTTAGAAATCACAACTATATCTCTAAGGAGAAGCCATCCATGAAGATTAAGCCATTTCAAAGACTAGGACATTCATCCGAATGGCATTTTGGCAATACATTAAAGTTGTGGGTCAACACTTCAGAAACAGGAAAGTAATTCAGATACCCTTATACATGGATTGTGCCAGTCCAATAGCTCTTACACAGATAAAATAAGCAATTATCAAACCCATCCAAGATGGCATTCATATAAAACAATGTACAAAATTTGGTTCAAATCTGACAGTAAGAATAAAGTTGTTTGACGAAACAAAGAAATTATCTATTCTAAGTATTTAAAAGTCCCATAGTCCAATGTTGACAGATTTTGATCAATATCAAACTCATCCATCCTTCATTGATATAAAAAATAACCCACTGAAGAGCTTTGTATGGATTTGGCTCCAAAATCCATCAAATTTTAAAGCCTATCATCAAACTCTCAAATCCTGTACATTTGTATTTCGCATTAAGAATACTTCCACTTTGTTGATTTGGTCTATAAAAAGATCAATAAATATGATTAGATATCTACTGATTAGGGGACAAAAAAGTTTGATAACTATGGTCCATGAGATTAGGAATATGATAAAGATGAACAGAAAAGTTGACAGTAAACAATACACAGTTGACACAAAATAATACACAGTGCACTAAGCTATAAGACCACATTGGTACTTATCCCATATAATACCAAAATGGCTGTCAGAAAGCCAATACCAGCTCAAGACTTGGGAAATGAAGATTAACATGTATAAAAGAGGTCTATAACCAACAAGACTTATGATCAATCAGGTAGGTACAGGCTTATATGGAAACACCATTGACATTTACTAAAGTATAAACTATGAATGAAAGTATTTAAAACATGTTATATAAGAAACACATACCTGATCACAATGTTTCCAAGTAAGAAACAGGGTTGACTAGTAGTGTTAAAAAATCAAGGCACAAGAACATACACCAATACAATGTATAACAAACATTCTAACCTGTTTCATCTTATCACTAGTACATAATTATATGAATTATAAACTTATAGGATTTAAAGCTAAACATTTTATGTTTAGTATACACTTTCGAAGAGCAAATTGTGTTTTGAATCATTTTTATTATACAACTAACTATCACGATATGGATGATAAACAGAAATATTGGAGATTTTAAATCCACTCCACAATAGTTTTATATTCTCAACAAGACATTTAAGCTGACATGATCCAAACTTATGGCATCCATATGTCCTATGATATCATTAGATGTTCATAGTACTTATTATACAAATTTTTTCAGGAATTAGACCAGTAGCCATTACTGATTCTTACCGACCCAAATAAGTCTGATACAAATACTTTATAAAGACAATAAGGGAACCATTTGCACAACATTTTACAGTTACCGAAGTAAGTATTAGACTAAAATGTCCCAGATCATCAGAAGTCCGAGTGGCTATCTTATTCTAGCACCAACAAATCAATTAGTAGCACCTGTTCAGGACATTCATAGCTACCATGTGCCATGCACTTGAGTGTATTTTTTACAATCTTGTAGGATTGGAGAACATGAAAATCTTTTATTGTAAATTGGCAAAAGTAAACAACATGTGTGATCAGTATCAGGTGAAAAACTTTGAAATGTTTCATCTGACTGGCAAAAAGAAATTGAAGAAGTAGGAAAATTTCTTCACCAATGAGAGAAAACAGCACACATCTTAGATTTAACACCGGACATTACACAAAATTAGGGGTCATTATGCAAAATTAGGCCCCCCCAGGGCCAACCCCCCACCCCTTCCTCCACCTCCTACTATGGTCCAGTTATGCATCAAATAAAATTCAGCTAAAACCTCATCTATCATCCAGAAAGAGTAGAATTTAACTGGAAAAAGCTGACAGGCAACTGGTGGATGCCTATCCACATTAGCAAACCACTTCAGCCAGAAAAATTAAGATTTTAATAAATGATTTTAATAAAGGTATAAATAAATACAATGATTAACATAAATATTTTTCAAAAAAATCACCATGATTGATTGCAATGTAGAAATAAATAAATAAATAAATAGAAATAAAATTTTAGAGGTAACTGATAATGAAATGGTATTTCATGTCTTTTACATACAAAAATGCACAGTCCCCATGTTGGAATAAATATGTGTAAAAAAATAACCACCTATCAATTTTTTCATTTTCATCTTAATGGAAAATTGGAATAACATCTTATCATTAGACATTACATCTCTTCGGCAACCTAGAGAAGGTCCAATTTATGAGGCAGGTGAATATCTACCTGTGAACTCTCTTGTCAGATCAAGGTAGTAACGAGGGGTTCGCTTACGGCCGTAGTCAAGGTACAGATACTTTCCTGTATTTTTTGACACTGCTGGTTCTATCTGTGTGCCTTCGTGCCATTCATTAAAAGAAGTAATTGATAGGATATTAGGGCTGACATTAAGGGCAGCATCAAACGCTGCTCTGTAATAAGTACCATCATTTCTATTTCGGGTGTTTTTAGCATTCCATGGTCGAACATTTGTATCAATATAACCTGGTCCAATACTTGGAATGAATATCTTTGAATGTGATTGAGCAAACTTTTTAATATCTTTCCATTTATCCCAACTACTACCAAATGTAAACCCATTGGAAGCGAAGTAGGTGTAAAATCCATCAAAGCCCGCAGAGTACACATGTACCTTGTGCTGTTGCTCAACTAACAAGCCAATAAAAAATCCATCAAGCTCTGTGTCACGAACAGTTGTTTTGCCCTTAGAAGTAAACAGGTCAGCCCAGAGTTTTGGACTAACTTGATAGGAGTCATAAATGTAATACAAAGGTAGCATCTTTTTCTTTTCCTTGTGGTATCGCCGATAAAAAGCAGAATGGTTTCCATACTTGTTTATTATGTATTGCAAGTTCTTTCTCATCGTCAAATGATCACGACCTTTATATGGCTCAATGTGAAATGCAACCTGAAAATTTAAGATAAGTGAAACAATATACATATGTAATAATTATTATAAAGGGAAAGATGTTCAACATCGATTATATTGGTCTCAATTTGTTGCTTTTGGATTATCTCCCTTCCCATGACTTTAAGTATCCAAAGACTTTCACATGGCAATGTTCAATTAATATTTATTTAAGATAATTTGATAAAAACCGTTAATTTTTTAGAGCAGTTTGGTGCTCCAAAGTGAACATGAAGTTAAAATTTTGTTAATTAAACTGCACGGCAAGCCTTTTTTAAACAAATATTAATCTATACAACTAAGACTCGCCTCTATTTCTTTTTTGTATTTCTCTGTTTTATATGTAACAGATGAAGTGAAAGTTTCTATATTATTGGATCTTTTTCATGTTAATGAGATTTACTTTGGATTTCAGAAAGGTTGTTGAAGCCTGACAGTAAAGTACTAGATGAAATAAGTTAAGGTGACATGATGCCATTCATATAAATTCAAATCAATTTTTTTTTTCAATATCCCCATCCAGCAACAAAATCTCTGCTTAACTTTTTTACTCCATGTTCTTTTTTAAGACAAAGAACTGGTCAACCAGAGCTGTATATTAACCTGACACACATCTTCTCATACATATGTGTGTGAATTTTAGTCAAGTTCAAGTTTTAGTCTAAATTTGTACATTATGTAAATGCATGGCCCCAGGGCTAAAATAAACACTTGATATGATATTTTTATAGATAAGTGCATATTAACAATAAGTAGAAAACACTTATATGTACTTAGGTACATGACTTACCTTAATGCCCTGTTCTTCTGCTATATCCATGATCATTGGCATGAGATTATCAGGCTCCTCGCCCTCAGAATCTGCATCACCTGGGGGGTACCATGACACAGCCATTACACCTAAAGATAACCATACGGAGAAAAAAGGACAGGATTTAAAAGGATTGAAAGGTACATTGATGACTGCATGAAACATCAGCCCACTTATTTTCAATACAGCAATACCAAACTTTCAGTCGAAATCCAAGATGGCCACCTGTTAGTCATTTTTCCGGAAATTAAACAAGGTTCTTCTAAGAACTAAAAGGAACCTACATATGATATTTGAGAAAAGTCTATCCAGAACTTCTAAAAAAATCAGCAATAAAATAAGTTGTTCGAAGCTAGACTGAAAGGCACCTGACAGTGAAAGTACACTAAAAAAGACATGACTTGAACAGTTCATCATGTATGACAGAGGGCTAAAAATACATCTACTTACATGGTACAAAAAATATTCTATAATGAAAGTATTCATGTGCAATTAATATTTCTTAGTGTCAGCATAACCTAAAGGTTTCAAAAACCTTATAAATTACCCTCCAACTAAAGAGAGGCTATCAGCCATATAGAAGACATTTCATAACATCAATTTATTTGGTGCTATAAAGTTTACTGCCTTCTTTTCACTTAGCACTTTCAAACTTTGCATATCTTTTTCAAATTCTGAAATTTCCAAGATATAAGTTAAACTGTTTTTTTTTTTTTTTTAAATAATTTCTTCAGGTTGGTAACACCAATAGAATAAAATGACTACAAGGTCACCTTCACCAGAAAAATGACCAGTGCTAAGCATATTAGGACTGACGTATGTCATGTATGACATGACATTGTATGACATGACATTGTATGACATGACATTGGAGTGAATTTTTGTCCATATTGTGATTTGGTGATCTTATTTTCTTGCCCTAGTTTTGATAAGATTGTTACCAGGCACAGTGGCACTTTTTGAACTTTTGGGTAGGGTTGTTTTTAAGACTCTTGCACATGTATGACCACATGTTAAACTTCAGTACATTGTTATAATCTTGTGTATTTTCTGGTCTGTAATCTGTTTACCATCTCGTCACACTGTTTTTGACCTTTGTGTACAAAGGATTATAGTAAAGCTGAAAAAATTGGTAGATTCCTTACCATCTCATACACACATCAGTAGTAGTACACTTCACACTGGTCATTTGTCTGATAAAGGCAACCATGTAGTCATGGAAAAGTCACACTCAAATCTTCTACTGCTCATGTTATAAGAATTTCTATCCTAAAAGTGAAACAGTATTTTACTGACAACTGATAAAGTAGACAAGAACCAGAATCTACATTACCTATACCAGCATATTTCATGTCCTGTACATGTTTCCTCACAACTTCTGGATCTTTAGAGCTGTAGGGCCCAAGTTGTGGATAAAAGTTTGCTCCAATGTCATCTGGCGGAGAATGGCGTCCAGAAGGCCATTTCTTGGCTTCATTTTGGTTCCAATGAGGCAAAAATGGATGATTCCAGTGTAAATATTTCCCATCAATCATTGGATTTCCATACCATGGATAATAAAATATATGAACATTATAGTTAATATCCTTGATCACATCAATGTGTTGTTTTGGTTTATTCAAATTTGTTTTCTGTCTCGAATTCGAATAACTTTTTTTCCCTGGGAAAGTCAAAGTTTTGTTTTTCTCCAATTCAGACCCTTTGATTTTTTCTAACTGTTCATCAACCTCTTTTCTTAATGCCGCCAGTATGTCCTTGTTTTCAAAAGGGATTTTGATTTTTTCTAGTTGTTTTCCCAGTGTTCTTTTTTCCTTGCTGCCAATATTGTAAAACATCAACATCATAGTCCATAAAAGGCAAACTATGATAGCAGCTGCTGTGATGCGTATTAAAGCTTTTCTTGACCAGAAATTTACCATGTTGTATATAAATTTGCAAACAGTATTTGATAAATTTATCTAATTTCAATTAATGCAGTTCTAATATTTTCCTTTTACTGGTGTATGAAGTCAGGTGTGCTCCTGAAAAAAATACAAACAACTTCAGATGTGTATATATAATTGCGTCAGTACTAACAAAAAGTAAAACTGCAATATCTTTTTTAGTAAGAAATTATCCATATCCAAATGGTAGATCAACAGCTGAAAAGTCTGAATATTCTGATAACAGGAAGAAAAGTAACAACCTACCAAGAAAAAAGTTAAATGAAATAATACACAAGAAAATAAAATAGGCATTAAAATTCAAAGGTAAACTATATTTGATAATAAACAGGGCACTGCTTCATTCTATATAAAATCTATTGTTTTAAACAAATGAGAAAGGTGCTAAAAATACTAAATTGAAAAGCGTATGTTTTTTTAACAGAAAAAAAAGCTTTTGTAGGATGAATTACATTTGTATAAACATGGCCATGAACACTTTAGTTGAAACAATTTCATACACCTGGGTTGAATTCATTCAGTTAGAGCATATATCTTACATTCACATTTAGAAATATACACAAGACATCCATCTGTCAAATGTTTGAAAGTCGATCAATATATTTATTTTGGGGGCATCAATATTCCCTAATATATGTGTGGCAGTCTGTTGTTTGGACCAGATTCTACAGTAGGCAGTAGACATCTAGTCCTGGACCTATATCAAGGTACCATGCCCCACACTATACACTCTAGACAGAGGTCTTGGTATGTCGTAGAGGCATTTAGGTTTAGGAATTAAGGCAAATTCAACATATACATGTATCTATATATAGTGTATGAAATATCTTGGTATTTGTGCTAGACTCCATAACAGACACCTATAAGTTATTGTGTATAAGGTCTGGCCTTAGTACAAGATACTATACCAAGCACAGTGTAGCCTAATATCTGTGCTATTCTTTGCTTAAGTGTTATACTCAGAAACTCTGGCTACCTCACATACCTGACAGGTAGCAGGAATATCTACTCGTTTAGGTACCTACAGGTTGGCTTTTACAATATTGTGCGCACTGAAATGTTTAACACAAGTCAAAAACAAATAGATAAAAAGCATTACGTGAGAATATTTGTTGGTAGATGACAAGTACACCTAATGATTTTACTTTCGTTTCCACTTGATGACAAATTTTTCGCAGAAAGGAACTACGTGATTGGTTCATTGTGTCGAAAGCGTCCAATCAAAACACATATAACAAGTTAAGGGTTTGGAAATTATGGGTTGGCGTGTGACCGCCATATTGGACACCACGCCAGCGTTATGACTGCGTAAGATCTGTTAAAAATATCTGTTTCCTTCCCACAGAAACAGTTTTAGACGTGCTGATCCAAGTACATCGACAACATGGAGGCCGTTAGAGCCTTCAACAATGAGGTAAATATATAGACACTGACAAGTTCGACGCCTGTACTCGTGAGTGATTACCATGTGGCCTATACAGAGTACTGATAAAGCCGGCATGAAAGCGTGGTTACATTGTTCAAGAACGTCTCGTCGCGTATATAGTATATCGATGATGGTTTTTTGAAAAATTGTCGGTCTTCAGGAATTTTAAGGATTTTGCTTATCCGTGTTGGCTCCGATACACCATTCCGTTTCTTAGAAATTCCGGTTCCTTCCAAACTGGGAAGTGATTCAAAACTCCACTTAATAATGTCATCTCCGTGAAATGTTGTTCAATTCACTGCCATTCAACATTTGCTACGCTCATAATTTTGAAATTTCCATAAGTAAACATAAAGGATGAAAAAATGTCCTGAAAATGTAATCCACCTGTTGAAGAAGGTGCATTATTTGGCTTTTAGTCGTAACAACTAAGTATGCATGAAAAGTCGGTGAAATGTATGTTGACATACAATAACCTGATGGGTATAGTGTTTGATTAGTTGTGTTAGACGAGTAAAAACTTGTGTCAAGGCAAAATGAATTTATCGATTTTATGTTCAAATATTTACATAAAGTTTACATCATAAATTATTTATTAAAAGGGAATAACCACTCTTGGCAGAAGCAAGATGTATACGCTTATATTTCTCTAGACATGATGTTGATATGAAGACAGTTTTAGGTTAGTGCTGGAACAGTTTGCAAACTACCAACCGGATAACTGGTTCAGACAAATAATGTAACCGCATCACTGGTCTCTGGTTTTAACATTGGACTCAGCTGTACAGTGCTCCAGATAGCCTGCGTGAATGCGTTTTCAGCTTAACCCGTGCGAAATCCGGACTCTGTAGGATGTCAAACAGACACTTATCAAGTAAACGAAACTAACAAGCGCTTTCTTGATCGTGATTATAAACCAGTTAGCAAATATGGCGCTGTCAAAAATGTTTACAAGTTCAATATATATTACACTTGAGAGAGATATGGTAGTCCCCACATGTCAAAAAGTTATCTGGAGCACTGGCTGTAGGATGCTTAAGATATTATGTATTAGTTGATCATACAAGCAATATATATTACACTGAGAGAGATATGGCTAGTCATAGTTCGATTCAGGTTTACCATGTACATTCAGAAAACTACAACATGAACCGCAATATGTCAACAAGTGTAACAAACATACTAACATAGCATATTATCCTCCATATAGTTCTAATGGACATTCTACTAGTGCATTTACAATTTGAGGTCAAAGTCTTGCTCACTCACATGCTTCAAGTAATATGTAAAACAAGCAAGATGACATTGTTTTCAACTGAGGCAGATTCTGCCAAATCATGAAAATATTAACAATGATTAACATGATTGATAATGTTTTCTTGACTGCTACAATTTTTTTATGAAAAAAAATCTGAAACCAGTTAGTTGTAATTTAAAGTACATGTGTATGCATAAAGACATCAAGATGAGTCATGGATAAGGATATGTGAACAGGGGACGGACTTTAAATTATTGGATTGTTTAAAAGTTAAACTGGATAACACAATCAGAAGGTACCAACCGAACTATGAACTTGATATCTGGTTACTGGTTTCCTTCAGCTTTGCTTCTAGAAATCATTGATTGACTAATAGAAATAAGCACTTATTGATGAATGCATAATCTCAAACTTTTAGTCCAGATAACTAAGCAAATGGTGCATTGTGTGGTAATATATGTCATATATTCTCATCAAAATTATGAGAAGAGAACACATACTACATGGCTTTTTTCTGCTACACTTGAAGTCAGTAGGCTGCCTGTCCAGCATGTGGAAATATTTCTAATTAGCATTGGCTATAATTTGAATCAGTTTTACAACCTTTGCTAAACCAGTCAATCAGATAATGTCAATCATTCTATTTGGGAAGGGAAACCAAAGTATGAGAGTGAATACACAAGGTCAAGCAGATGACACATTAGTGAAAGACGATTGTGTTACCTCAGCACTATCCAAACACCCAGTTCAAGATGTTAAGGAAATGTTTACTTGGTGTACAAGTGAAAGATACCTGTAGTTTCTTTCTAGTTTTTCATGTTTTTGTTTATTTGTTTTTCTTTTACTACCGTGATAAATAATGTCAGATATAGTTTATATGTATAAATTATCAAATAACACACTATTGTGACCATTGGACAGTGATGCAGTCAGTCATCACACAGACACCAGTCCATCAAAATGTCTGAACTTCTGGTGCTGGTACCATAGCTGAAGGAAATAGCTATTTATACAGGTTCACATTGTATCAATAGAAATTTGCCAATTTGTAAAATTAATATCTTGACATGTTTTTTTATATAAATAACAAGTCCATAAGTCACAATTTTTATGCACCAGTTTTAATTTGACATCATTTCAATTAATGTTTTATGTTCAATGCTCACCTTTACATTGTTCAGAATTCTAAGAATAGGTCAAAGAGATGAATTTATCCATTTCTTTCTGAATATTTTAGTACTCTTGACCCAAATTTTTGATCAGCTTACCAATGTTTGATATGCTTTCATCTTTACTTGTATATACAAACTTTAACTTGATCATGGCATTATTTTTTTTTCTTTATTTGCAGCTCTCTTCATTGTACGAGACCCGGCCGCCCATATCTCGGGCAAAAATGGCCAATGTCACCAAAGGTGCAATAAAAGCAATAAAATTCTACAAACATGTTGTGCAGAGTGTAGAAAAATTCATTCAAAAGGTGGGTGTTTTTGTCTGTATGCATTTCTTTTATGTTATGAACTGTTGGTTTTTACTTTAATCTTTGTCAGTATTTTGATATACCAAAGGATTTGTTCTATGATAAAATGTTTCACTTTTGCAGTGTAAACCAGAGTACAAAGTTCCAGGGCTATATGTGATAGACTCCATAGTTCGACAATCTCGTCACCAATTTGGATCAGATAAAGATGTATTTGCACCAAGATTCACAAAAAATGTTGTCGCAACTTTCCAAAATCTACTTAAATGTCCAAATGAGGAAAAGGTAATTATATTTTTGTTTATGAAAAAAATACCATATATCGCAACAGCAGAGACATTTGTTAATGAGACTGGTAGAGAATATTTTATCATTTGTTTTTCAGTAATACCTTACCAAGGAAATTTCTAACAACTTTATTGACTATTCATTGGCTGTCAGTATGTTATATTATTCCATTGGTGAAATTTGAAACCAAAGATATCTGGAACTTGATCATTACTTGCAATTCATCTGTGTTTTTTTGTAAACACATTGAATTTTTTAACTTTTGATCATTTTATCTTCTCTTGTTTCAGAGTAAAGTTATCAGAGTGCTAAACTTGTGGCAGAAAAATGGTGTTTTTCAAAGTGAGATAGTACAGCCCTTACTTGACTTAGCTGTGGACTCAAATGACATGAATCTTGTAGCTGCTGGTAATACAACATTTATGTCTCGGCAAAATACCAAATATATGCTTTACATTAGTTTGTGAATAAATTTAATTGGAAAGTAAGATATGAAATGGCTTATTCTGAATTGATTTGATGTGTTTTAGTGGGAAATTAATTCCAACATTGACAATCTTTACTCTTTGTATCTGTTCATTTACCTATTGAATAGAAAATATATGCCTAAAAAGACTTCTGCAATCTACCTGATATGAAGCTCATTTAATGATTAAGTCACTGTGACAATGTTTTATCACATTTACCTGCATTTGTAACAATGACAGCCTATCCATTTTATCTAAGTTTGTAATTATTTGACCTTTATGAGCCATAGACTTTTTGATGCAAATATGTTTTGTATGTTTAATGCAGTGTTAGTCTAGCAATGAATTATGATTTTGTAGCTCAAAGAGCTGTGGACAATCTGTCGGCAAGCAAGGCTGGACCAAGTGCTGCTGGTCAGTCTGCACCACCCCAGCCCAACGCAGCTGAAGGAAGTGGTGATGGTATGGAAATATCTTCACAGAATGACATGCTCAACACTGTCACGCAGCTCCTTCAGCAGACCCAAACGGTAGGGTATGACTCGGTATGAATTATATATCATATCTCAACGACTATAAAAGTTATCTTAAGAATATATTCGTGAAAGATAAAGATACAATAAAATTCTATGATTTTTTTTTCCTCAATGATTAAAAATTCACTGTAATGAAAAAAATATTGCCTTCAGAAAGCAAATATGAAATTAAATCCAGAAAACTACAAAACTATAATTTATATATATTTTATTAAGAAATGTTAAATGAAAGATTCATATGTAGCAGTCCTGGTCCTTGGAGTACATGTATTATATGTGTGTTTATATAATACCTGTTTTTGATGGTATTTGAAGAACACTCTTTAAATATGATGTGTGTTTTTTATGTTCTCAGGGAGCCACAAGTCTCAGTGCCCAACAACAACAGTTACAACAGCTTCAGTTACTTCAGCAACAGCTGATACAACAAACACAATTAATGCAACAGGCACCTTCTCAACAAGGCTCATCTCATGCTATTGATAGTAATCTTCTCTCCCATATACAGACTCTTACAAACCAGCTTCTCAACAAGACTGACAAGTCCACTGAGGGAGGCTTTAATAAGGTCAGTTTCCTCCTTGTATTTTGAATTGGGGCTAAATATTCTTAGCAATGTGCTCATATAGATAAATCCTTGAAAATTAAAGCACAAGTCTTGAACTTCATCATTTTGAGGGTTTTTTTAACCACACTTAGAGGCAATGGGGAGCACTGAAGGTACAATCATATTCCAAACGTAGATTTCAACTGAAAAATAGTAATACTTTCAGTCTTAATGTATGTGTTTTTCAGTATTTCATTGTATTTTCTCCTTCAGAAATTACTAGATTTTGACTATGGTGAAAGTGATGATGAAGACGAGCATGGGATGCCCGGTGGAGGAGGGGGTGGCGGGTAAGTATACAGAGAATTATTACGGTTTAGATTTAATGTCAAGGAAAGTAAAGCAGAAGACCATGTAGACTGAAGATAAGATTTGTTGTTTGCTTTTTTAGCAAATTATAGTGAAGTCGCTTGTTTTTACTTTCTTTTTTTTTTTTTGTAATTTGAATTCAATAAAATAATGTTCAAGATTATGATATCATATTGCAGCATTGTGGCATGATCATAGTGTATCGTTAAGTGAGGATTAGAACAGTAATAAAAAAATCATTTGTATTCCTTTTAAGTGTCTTTCAGAAATGATATATCTTTGACTTGATCTAAAAGAGTTGCTGAAAAAAACTTTTATATTTTTTACAATTATTTCATTAAAGTGTGTTGTTTCATATTTTTAGAGTGCCAAATCTTTTAAATGATCCAGCTTTCTTGCAACAAATACAACAGATGTCTCAAACTATTCAGAAGACCGAGCAGATACAAAATGAATTGAGCATGCAGAAGCTTTTACAACAACAAGCTGAATTCGACCAGCAAATTAGACAGGTGAGAAATCTGATATATCAAATTCAAAACAGAAACCCCTTAATTACAGAGTTAAAGCCCTTACTTATGATTTTGTGCCCGATGAAGCTGTTGAGCATTCACTGGTTTCACTGATACTCTTGTTCACAGGAAAAGTGTCATACAAAATAACGTTAGTTCAAGAAATAAAAAGGTGAAAATGTGTTGTGAGGGATTTCTCAAAATTAGACATTGAAAGAAAATTTTAAAAATATTTCTTTTGTTTTTTCCAGCCTCCAATGTCACAGATGCCCTCCCTCATGCCCCCTGAACCACATCCCCCTCCTCCAATGCAGCCAGGGTATCCAATGATGCCTGATCATCAGCCACCTCCAGAGGATTATCATGACATAGATGAACGAGCTCAGGAGCCCATGGAAGAGGAGCGTCACAGAGACGATAGAGATCGGGACCGTAAACATCGCAGATCAAAGCAATCTTCAAGAGATCGATCTCGTTCTAGGTAAGCATCAGTTTAATATGTTTATATCACCAGTTATATCCGCATAATATAACTGATATTTCATTTCTGTTTTCCAGAAACCATTGCAGTTTTAAACATTAAATAATGTCTGTGGTTACCTATTATTGAAATGGTTTGTTAGCTGAATGTATACCCTCATGAACTGCCAGGATTATATTGAGACTGGGTCTCCTTGTAGTTGCTAGTGGCTGCCTCACTGAACAACATACAGGAGACCTGTAACAAAAGAATGGCATATTACCATACTACAACTAACTTCTAGCTACTTCATTGAATTCTGATGGGTGCCAAAATATTACTGGTTACTTCTGAATTTGTTAGAAAAGTTCTCCATGTAACTCTTGTTTAAAAGTGTAAATTCATTTCACTGGAAGCCCTGATTATCAATTTATGTCTTTGATCGAAAATATTTATCTATTGCTTCATGTTTGGTTATCTTTCATTTTTCAGAACACCTAAAAGAAGGAGGCGCACAAGGTCACGATCTAGAGACAGACGCAGACGATCACGGTCACGAGACAGGCATCGCAGGTCAAGGTCAGTTACTAAACAGCTTAGATCAAAGTGGTAATGATATAAAGAAATATTATATTTAATTTTTTAATTGTCAGCAACATCTGAATATATATGCACTTATTAACACAGCTATAAGAATGATGGCACATACACCAGTCCTGATGTTAGACTTTTTTGCAGAGATTATGGTTATTATGTGGTGTCTGCTGACTTTAAAAGGGGTCTCTTTTGATCAGTTACTCAAAAAGTATATGTCCACAGTCAACAAGACTTGGTATACAATTAGATTATATAGTTGGCATACTTATCATATACAAAATATCATCCAACTCTGAAAATAAGGCATGCTGAGAAATTAGACTTTAAAGTCTTGCATTATGTTCAGATTCTCATTAGATACAACTGCTTTTCAAATAAAACCTGGAATATAGTGACATTAAATAAGACATCTGAACCAACCAAATATCTTTAACATGTCCCGTTATACAGAGCAGCTATATTTAAACCTGACTACATATTAATGGTGCTTACATGCTATTGATTGAAATTAACATGAAAATTCAGTTTTTGTGGGGAATAAAACAGACTTTAAGTGTACTTTGCATAAAAATACCATACTTACAATGACGGACAAGTGAGACAGTAACATGTAATACTTTTAAATGATAAGATTTGCCATTGTCATCTCTTTTTTTCATATGATTTCTATAAAATGCCACTGTCACAGTACTGCTGTTACTTCTTTATTCTAGTTGGTCATGTCTAAGGCAGTACCAGTAAAACATCTGCTTGGCCCTAGAACTCAAAATTAATCACTTCTAACCATTGCTAAGTCTCCTGCCAATTACTTCTGTGCAAATGATCAATTAGATTCTATGAGAGGTTCTCTAACACAAAACCTGTGAGACCATGGTGGAGTTGATGTTTAACATGGATATAAAAAGTTGTTGCATAAACATATATATTTTAGGTCCCGCGACAGGGAAAGGGAGAAGCAGAGGGAACGTGAAAGAGAAAGAAGGAAGAAAGGTTTACCAGCAATCAGAGAGGAATGTCTCAGCAGTAAGTGGTCATCTTTAATGTTCAGTGAATTTAATTACAGAAAGTGATGGATTATTATGGTATTGACATTTCTCTTTGTTTCTGATTCAAATAGAAAATTTCATTATAGATTATTTATGGAAAAGTAGATTTGATTTATCCATGTCTTTGTTTTAGTCTGTACCACAACACTTTTCATTGGACACTTGGCCAAAAGTACAACTGAAGAAGAATTACGAGAGGAACTTGATAAATACGGAACTGTGGAAACACTGCATGTAAGTAACTCCATGTCGGAAAGTTTAAGGATGCAATTCTCATAAAGGGAATTCCTAGAGGGAGAGTTAAAAAGAGAAATAAATACTAACTTACAAAATTATTGAATATTGAAAAAGAAAATTTATTTACATTTCAAGCTAGAATGCACTTAATACCATTAAGAAATGTTCAAACACAACTTGCCTATTGATGAAGACATTTTGCACACTATATTCCTTTCTAGGGCCTTAATTATTTTTTGAAGGGGGATTTAACAGAACACAAAATTTTCAGATTGGGTTGTCAGGTATATCAAAAGTAACAGTTTGAGAGACTACTGCTAAATTGTGCTGGTGTAGTAGGTCTGTTTACAGGTAAAGTTTGATGTAGCATGTGCTGCACACTTTTCTTTACATCTTATCACAGATAGAATGCATGTGTAAAGTCATTTGCGGGCTTGCTATGTAGGGCATATACATGTGTGTAGCAGAAATGTGTAAAAGATGTTCCTACTTGTACAGTAGCTTTGAGTAATTTACCCAGTAACTTTTTATTCTTATTTCCTATTTCATCTATCATGATAGGTATTGTATCTTGATACAGATTGTATCAGTACTGCCAAGGCAATACAAACCCCTATATTCAATAGAAAATGATCAAACTTTGAACAATATCACTCAAGCAACTTATTTTCTTTAGGTATTTGGTTAACATTGTTTTTCAAAAAACTGTCAAACAGTGATACTAGTTAACATGAAGGAATGAAGAATGGCATTTCAGTTTTTGTAACCTTCAGATTCTGTTTGACTTCAATCAAGGTCATAGATTTTGACCAGAAGAAAACAATGCTAGATGGGGTTATATGTAGTAAGCTTGTTCTCATTTTGTTTTTATTGTTGAATTTTCCAGATTATACCTCCACGAGGGTGTGCATTTGTGTGTATGTCGAGGAGGAAAGATGCAAACAAAGCATTAGACAGACTAAAGGGATACAAGCTCAATGGATCTGATCTGAGAGTAAGTATTGTATGCATAATCCTTGTTGCAGGAGAAAATAAGTGAAATTTCTAGATACCTTATCAATGATTATTTTTGTGGGAATGATATTTTTCACTTTTGCTAGGCATAAACATGATACTAGATTCTTTACCTAGTACAGAATATTTGTGTTTACACTGTTAGTCATTGGCATTATTAAAAATTGTGATACTGTTTGTCTAATAAATCAACAATCATGTATTTGAAAGTTGATATCGGGAGCAGTATTTGGAAAAAATTACGTATCATTTTAAATCTAGATGCAAAAATTTCATTTTGAAATTTACGGAAATTTTGATCCTCAAAAGTAACTGGGTGTACAGTGATGGTTTATTTTACTGATCACGGATAAAGAGATTGGTTGCCATAATTGCAAACCTTTTGCTAACCATGATTTTTTTTGTTGATTTCATGAAAATAAATGCATGTTAGAATACTGAATAATTGCTCTTTATTTGTTTATATTAGATGAAGTGCAAATGCTTTGTTTGCTTACAATCTTGTGGTTTGTTTCAAGGTTGCTTGGGCCCCTGGTATAGGTGTAAAAGAATCTGAGTTTAGGGATAAATGGGATGTGGATGCAGGAACAACCTACATCCCTTGGAGCAAACTTCCAGATGATCTCAGTAACTTAATCGAGGGAGGAATCATTGATGAAGAAACATTGCCAGAACATCTCAAAGGTATATATAGATTGTCTCATCATGGATAGGTGATGAATTTTCTCCATGGAGTGTGAAAGAGGAAATTTGATGGCACATATTCAAAATTTGCAGAGCAAGACTAGTTCATATTCACTATACAATCAACAGCTTCACATTGCAGGAATCCTTGTATTATTAGCGAATCCATATGATCATTATTAAGTGATGGTATAACAAATTTAGTGACAATCTATATTGATATAGATAATTTTAAAAAATTCAAAAATGTTTTAAACAGAAGTTGGAATTTAATGTAAGTTGGAAAAATAATGCTGATGACCCTTGTTATAAATTGTTAAAATTTTAAATTCAGAAGGAAAACGAAACATCTGTTGTTAGTAAATTGAAAAATGTTCCTGAGAAGGGATATATTTCCTTTCATCAATTTATTCATGAGGTATTTTGATTTTTAATATAGGTTCTCTGATTGGGAGGGAGAAGCCAGATGTTGCTGAGGAACAGAGCCAGCAGGCTCCCCCGCCACATCCTCCCCTACCCAACAACCAGGGACCACCACCTCCTATGGGGCTACCAGGACCCCCAACCAGTGGGCCTCCTGGAGGCCAGTTCCCACCACCAGTCCCAGGTAAGTTTTAAAACAAACTTGGCATATGTTGAATGAATAATGCAGTTATATGTATAGTTGAAACTCATTATCTCAGAATTCAAGGGACCATGGAAAATATTTTGACTATTCTGACATAAAACAATTTTGAGACAACAAATCACTTTTCCCTGGCTTTACAGTAGAAGTGACTGAAAAATCACTTTGACTCATCCAAACTAAAATTATAGAAGATATAGAAGGAGAAAAAATTAGGACTAAGAAATTGTTTCTACTCAAGTGGTTTCGAGACTAGTTTCAACTGTTTATATTCATAAAAATAAAATATTTTGGAATAAGTTGTACCAGGCAGACAACTAGGTGAGAATGAAGATCTATTTAAAATTCAAGTTCGATTTTCTTTTGTTACTGTAATGCTGGTTGAAAATCATGCCAAGTTTATCCTCCAGGTGATTTAATATTCTTAGCTGAAATACAATACAGCTGAAACAGTCTTCTTCCATCTACAAAATTCTATTTTAGAATTCAAGTTCTAGTCTGAATTTTGCTGAAAATGATATTGGCAATGTAATACATGAGAGATTATTGTCTAGATCACATGTGCATTTTTTAATTGAAATGAAAACATAGACAAGCAATTAAGATGTTAAAACAATATTTAAAGTTAAATATTGTACTTGCCTTGTGATTTAAACAGATGTCAAGTTTCAGGCAACCAGATTTACTGGGTTACTATTGATGTGATGTTACAGGTATGTTGCCCCCTACCTCTGTGATGCAACACATGGGAGTGATGCAGCACATGATGGTACAGGGTGGACTTCCTGGACAGATGCCTGGAATGCCACCACAGATGACCATGGCAGGCATGCCCCAACAGTTACAGTCAAGTCAGGGTGTACCCTCAGTGCCAGGCATGATACCCCTTCCAAGTGGTATGCCAACAGTCAGGCCACAGGTAATATATCAAGACAGATAAAATACTTTTGTTACAGTCAGCAGGTTTTAGATATGGAGATAATTGTTAAAAGACAAGATAACACAAAGTATGTTAACCAAACCCGTAGATGACAATACAATAGAAAATATTAAGTTAATAGCAATGGTGTTTTGTTTGTTCTCTTCTTCTCAAGTTCTAACAGTGGGATTTAGTTGAAACTTACCTGAGATGGTACTGACCAAGTGTTGTTATTTTTTGGGCTGATTTGAAATCCAATATGGCTGCAATCTTGGGGAGGGGGAAATATTTCACACTTTTTCCCAAGTTCTACTTGTGCCATTGAGCTGAAAATTGATAGGGATGTTAAAGGAAGAGAAGCCAACGATTTCAGATGTATAATATGGCAGCAACAAATGTGCAATCATGGAATGTTCACTGGTAAGGTCAAGCTGAAAGGTGGGAATGTTATGGAAAAGAGCAAAGAAATTTTTATTTTTCAGTCTCCTCAAAAGTTCGATGTGGCATCTATTTCATAACATGATTGTTCAATCATGGTTTTCCTGAACAACACCTATTTCAAACTTTTCAACTTTTAAACCATGGGATTCAATTGAAGTTTGCCTTAAATGATCCATTGATGGTCCTGACCAATTCTTATTTTTAAAAGTCAAACTGAAACCAAATAAGGTTGCCATCTTGGAAAATATATTTCAAAATTTCCCTGTTCCACTTTGGGAATGTTGAGAATAATGACATGCTTTTTGCCTTCACTGCAAGATATTGCTAATTGTTTTGATCATCAATAACTGTTCCTGCTACTACTACTGATATTATATCACATAAGTCTTGATAGTAACTCAGCTAACTGTCAAGGCCCATGGACCTCATGTTTAGAGCTTTAGATCAAAATTAAAGATTAAAGAATTATACGAGCAGACCCCAGAAGATTGAAGGAAGCTGTTAGTAGCTTGAATTCGGTATATATACTAGGATATATCTACCATATTTCATAAACATTCACATTTTTAGATTTGCACCACAACACACTAAAATAACTACCCACACATCATTGATGGTGTACTTGAAATATTTTACAATAAACATAAGAAAGGAGTACTATATAAAGATTTATATGAAAGCTCTTTAAGCAATGTGACAGCCATGGCATTCAATAGTATCTTAATATGAGTTGCACAACACAAGTTCACACTTTACTATTGTGATTTTTAGATACTGTCTAAAGTATCATTTTCTCCTTACAGATTGGACAAATATCCTCTGCTGGAGGCTTAACACAGATCACATCAGCCACAGGGGTGCCTCCCTCCTCTGTTGGTAGTCTGTTTACCAGCACAGGTGGACTGCCCCATGTATCAGATACTGCCATCAATGCTGCTCTGCGGCCTGGATTCCCTGCTGGTGCAGGATTTCCTCAGCGCTTTGGAATTAATCTGCCACCAGGACAAGGTTTTAGGATGCCCCTTTTTAATCCAACACAAGGAGTCATCCAGCAACCCCAACTGCAACCCAAGCCATCACTGTTGGGAATCAGACCACCGTTCAATGCAAATCCTGCCGACAAAAAGGAAGAAAAACCATCTCTGCTAGGTCGTCCCCCTGGTGACTGGCAGCAACAATCAAAACCTCAGCCACCACCAGATTTCTCAGATGATCTAGACACAGATGATCGTGATATTAGAGATAATGCTGGTAATGGTTCCCAGTCAAAAGAATTTGGTGGTTTGCCACCATTTGGATCTCAGGGAGTACAGGCAGCTACATCACAAGACAATATTAGTCCATCTGGTCACCCCCAAGGGGCTGGTAGAGGTATGAGTCAAAGTCTTGTACACCCACCAAATGTTGGCATGGCTCCCCCTAATTTCCGCGGACCTAGACCATTAATGGACATGAATGGACCCATGGGACCAGGTTCAAGAATGGGAGGACCACCAGATGGATCAAACAGATTCATGAGTCCCAGGGGACCAATGCCAGGAAATATGGGACCTAGGGGTTTCCAAGGAGGTCCTCCAGGGCCTGGTGGTCCAGGAGGGCCCAGAGCAGGATTTATGGGCAATAGGCCGGGGATGCCATTTCAAAGGTTCCCTGGTAATTTCCAACCCAGACCCGGCTTTCGAGGGCCTCCTGGTGATATGATGAGACCTAGATTTGAAATGGGAGGTAGAATGAATGCTCATGATGGGGAATTGGGTAATGAAGAAGAGGAAGACAATTTCCGTAAAGAAGAAAGCTTTGATAGAGGACGTCCTCCATTTGGTAAAGAGGAAAGTGGTCCCCCAGGACAGAATTGGGGAGACAATGATGACAAAGAGGATGACTTTCAAGATGGGGGTGGATTTAGAAGAGATTTCAATAGAAGGGATAGAGGAGGACGAGGTGGTAGACGTGGAAGAGGTAGAGACAGTTTTGGGGGTAGAGATGATAGAAGGGGAGATTTTGATAGAAGAGACAGGCGTGAGGACAGGTATAATAGAGATGACAGAGGCAGGGGTGACTGGGGAAACAGGGACAGAGGGGGAAGAGATAGACGTGACAGAGACCAAGATGTTCCTGGCTTCAGGGATAGAGGCCGTGACAGGGACAGTGAGCAGGATACAGGGGGATTCAGAGATAGAGGTAGGGAAAGAGATAATGAACAGGAAGGTCCAGGTTTCAGAGATAGGGGACGTGATCGTGATGGTGAGCAAGAGGGAGGAGGCTTTAGCAGAGATAGGGGTAGGGATAGAAGAGAACGTGACAATCGTGACCAGGACCGTGACAGGGGGTCCAGGAGAACTAGTAGATGGAGTGATGTGACAGATGTGGAACTTCAAGAAAGTGCACCCCCCTTAACAGGGGTATTACCCGATAAACTGGTTGAGGAGGGTGAAGTAGGAGGTCCAAAAGGTGGAGAGGTTGTTGGACCTCGGGAGGAAGGAGAGGTAACAAATACCCCTGCTCCTCCCCCACCTGCCATAGTTAATGTACCAGACAGTGAAGTAACTAAAGTGAATGGTCCAGAACTTGAAAAGGAGGCCCAACATGTTCCTCCTTCAGACAATATAGTGCCGGTAGTTAAACCAGTGACAAATGGAGAAAGTGAGCCCAAGCCTGAGGCACCTCCCACGCGAGACCCAGAGACACTAGAGGAAGGCGAGATAGAATGAAAGTTATGATCATATTAGGCTGATAAATTTGTTTCTTTGTATTGTGCATCTTCTATAATGTTTGGTCTGTTCATCTGTTGTAAACACAGATGGCAAAATGAATGTGATAGGATACAAGTTGTTTTCAGAAATTTGATTCATCCTTTAATCTTATCAGAAATTCTGTAAATTAAAACAGAACTTTAGTAAGAAAATATCTGTTGCCTGTTGATATTTTAGGGATCGTGTTTGTATTTTAAGCTGTAAACTGCTTATAACCAGAAACAGCTAAATTTTATTTCACAGTTACTCAACATCCGTGATGTAAAACATAAATTATATGTATATAAAGGTAGGAATGGCAATTTAGTGTAAGTTGCATCTTTGTGTTCATTTTTTTTAGAAATCATGTGAAATTGTAAATATATGGTTTTAATGCTGTGCCGAGCCCTGTGAATGCAAGGAAAAGGAAGTGAGTGTGGTGTATGCATGTCTGAGAAAATGAATTGTTTTGAAATTTGTATTTTTTCTAGTATAACATAACATCTTTATTGTATACTTCATATACCAATTGTGGTTAGAAATGTTGCCTGGATACCTAAGTATGAGTGTTCAATATTGGCCATATGTGGCAAGGAGATCTCTTAATGCAGTTTCATTAAATCCAGTCCTAGAACATCACTCCTACTTTATCTCACTACTTAAACTTTTAATTATCAGTGGTTTTACCATTGACAAAGACTAATTTATCCTGATTTTATGGAATTGTTCATGGTTTAGTAATACTAAATGTAATGCATAACATACTAAACATGAAGAACTACTGAGATTTACATAAGACCTAACAGGAACACGCACACTGATCAATTATATGATAGACTATTCAGATTCTATAGATAGCTTGATATATGTCCACTTTTTGAGCCCATGTCGCACAAAATGGGCTGATTGAATCACTTTGTCCATGGTTGGTTGTTCATAAACAATTCTTCTAATTGCAACTCCTCTGAAATTTACATGGAATCTTCTGTCAGTACATATGTTCCTTGGTCCTTAGTTGGTCCTAAATGATTTTTAAGACTTATTGATTTTACAAAATGGCCATCAGATACCATAGCAGGAAAAGTTTACCTTCACTACTTCTTCAAAACTGTCTGAGGCGATAATTTCAAATTTAAGTGGACTTTAGTGATGTTCAGTATGAACTGGCTACCATGGTATCCATATTGCTTTTGCTATGTATAAGTAGTGTGTCAACGGTTAAAAGGTAGGTCAGTCTGATCAATATATTTACCTTCAATCCTGTTCTTACAAAAGCCATGTTAAGATTATATCGCCTAACCTGTGGAATTGCAAGACAAGATATATAAAAAACATCTTGAGCGGAAGGTTTGTATTGACATCAAGGTCACTTGGACCTGTATTTTAATCTTTGACCCTGATGAAACAAAAATATTGTTCTGAGCATATTGCTAACTCTATTTCATGTATGGTGATTGTGCATGATATATAGGAATATCCTGACAGGAGGTTGGGGGCGGGGGAAGTGATGTGTGCATGAACAATTTAATTGTAACCTATATTTTGAGCTTAAGCTTCTGCCGAAAAAAACACTTGTCCTAATCACATCTCCTTCTTTATTTCATAGTGGATCCATCTTGTGCAGATGGAGTGCTGTGTGGCATATTAAGGTCACCATGACCTGTAACATGACCTTCAATTTGTTCAAAAAATTTTCGGCAATCTGTTTCACTTAAGATTATCAAATTTGATGTAGGGGGCAACAGGAGTGTCTTGGAACATGATAAGGTCACGTATCATGCACAATTTACAATTAGATTGGCAGGTTATCCATACAATGCTTAAGCTCCTCCATCAATATTTATACCTTAATCACCCTGAGGTGGGTGCCAAGATCCCTTTGGAGGGGGTGGTCCCTTATTTATCTTGGTTCAGATATGCCTATTTTCCTGAATGTTTTAAGTATATTCCTATATATATCTTTCTAATTGAGGACTAGTATTGCTTGACCAAAGTTCTCTGTAATAAGTCTATTCATAATTTGCCTATCACTTCTAAAAAAGACTTTACTTCAATTCTACAAGTATTACATCACAAAACCCAGTCCTGTGGGAGGGGATAGACATTTTATGGGAATAACTTTTGATAAATAATTGTCCTTTTGAATTGTGCCCACAATGTCAATAATTTAGGAATTTTGAACACCTATCCGGTGTAAATTGCTCTCAAATTAACCTTCTAGGTAAATTTTGCTCATATTGAACCAGTCATGTACTCTAGATACTAGAAGTACCTCCAACTAGCTAACTTATTTAATGTCAGAATGTAATGTTGGGTTTGTGAGAGTATAAATTTCAGATGGACATCCTTGTGTATACTGTTAATGTATAATTCAAACCATCCTTGGTATATAATGTATGCTGATAATGATTGTTTATACTGGTGAAAAAACATGATGCACGAGTCCTTGTGCAAGTGGAATCGGTGTGCTCTCAAAAAGGAGAAACCTCCAATAAAGTAATGAAATGTGAGACGTGTTGAATTCTGTTTTAATGGGTTTAACATAATATATATACTGGTATATGGTTCAAAATGTTTGCAAACACAGTCCTGTTTATTGAGAAGCTGTCATTTCAAACATATATGATAATTATAAGGTGTCCATGGACAAATTTGAATTTGTTGATTTTCGAAAAGGTGTGGTGTTTAATTAGTGACATCAGGGGATTTATTTGGGAATGGGTCTTAATTTATCATTACACAAAACAGGAGGCAAGTAGAATTTTAAGATTTAATCATTCACATTATGAATGCTTTATACGATATGTATTGCAGAAGGGTATGTAGAATCCAAACTTGGTGATAGTATTATTAATCTGCTGCCAAAGGTGATGGTGGCTGCTTGATGATCAAACTTTTGAGGCGAGATAAATTATACACGGGTCAAAGTAGCCTAGAAAACATTACGCTTTTCTTTTTTTTAATTACTGCATTTACTGGTAGTTTGTATAGAATTTCCAACAAAACTTCACAAAATCTTCAAAGAAGCTTCATCATGTACTACCACTTCATTCAAACTGAAGAAATGTCCTAATCTGTGGCACCTAACATATGTTTCAGAACACAAGGTAAGTGTACAAGTTTGTATCAACTGCAGTGACAATATCTTGCAGAGTGGCTGAAAGCATTTATTAAAATTATTTTATACTTTTTACTATCTGGAGAATGGCTCGCTACACATTTAAAACCAATGGCATTCAGAAGAATTGGCAAGAACAGTTTTCAAAACAATGTTGTGAATTTTCTGAAATGTAGCGACTCATTTTACAATCAATACTAATGTTCTGGTGTTTCAGGTCAATTTTTCTATGTTCTTTTTTATAAGTATCAAGCTTATAATCCTATAATTGCTTGCAACTACTGATGCTTACAATAAATTAACTTCAAACGGAATTTTTGAACAGGTCCAGGCCTAGCTACAAAAAATTATTTGTGTGTTAAAGCTGAGGGGCAATTCTATCACTGCTTGGAATTTATCTCTAAAGTTGTTTATGATACATGAGTAGAGCTCTTGTATATATAATATGAGAAATGTGTCCCTCATATACAAAAAAGAAAAAATGGATTTTGTGTTGCTACTTAATCTGCAAGACACAAAAAAAGAATGGACACAAAAAAGAAGCATGTTTCTTTCTGATTAAATACATTTTAATAGCATCTTACCCGCACCACTGGGCATACCAACAATGATTTGTATCATGATTTGTGCAAATAAAAAGTTGTATTGTAACTCTTATTGTTATGATTTTCAATATAATTTTATACATCGACTACTAGTAGTGATTATTCTGGGACTTATAGGCAGCAACTTCATCACTGAATCTACCATTATAGGTTGTCCATTTCTGCTACATGACTTCAGGATCCATTTCTTTCAATGCATAGTGAAAACAACAGAGGTACAAAGGCAGTGCCCAATGAGAATAATTCCTTTGATGTTTATGATTTTGACACTGAACAAATACAAAACTTCACTTTGCCGACTTAAAACTTTCTGCTTTCCCTAGATACTTGGTATCAACTTGTATGTACACATTTCTTGTCAAAACATGCAGTCTGTTTCTTTGGAATGACAATCTAATTCTTTGAGATGCCGATTACGCCACATGCCTGTCTTCCTCCAGCATTCCCTGTTGTTTTGCTGAGTTCATGACCACCTTTTCCTAGATCATCTTCATCTGCATGGACCTGAAACAATACAAAAACAATTAGACCTTTAGCAATTTCACTTTAAATTCAAATTCCAACAATAAAACTTGAGAAGAAATTCACATCACAACAATCGTCAAACTCTGCTGTTTTATATATATATAGACACTATAGTATATTCTTGTTCTCATTACACCTTTCATGACAACAAGTGTGAAATGGCTGATGGATAAGTTCACATAAACTGAAGACCCCACAGGGATCTTGTGGCCTGTATTACTTGGGTTTTATTTTATTCTTTCTTCTGTTTTTGTTCTCAATTAGATAACATTTGACAATTTTTCTCAAGAAAAAGTGATGATGATCTCCAACTGCCAAATCAAAACTGGTCCATCAACTTTTTTCTTTTTCTATCCAGTCCATCTAGTGACCAAGGGGAGCCATCATATGAAATTTGAGAAAGGTCCACCAAGTGTTTCTCAAGAAAAAGCAATAACAAACTTTCATTGACAAATTCCAAGATGGCTGCCTCTCAGCCACTTTGATTTTTTTAAAATCAGTCCAAAAATCAAACAAGCACAGCTAATGAAAAAGATGAATCATCATATGAAATCTGAGAAAGATCCATTCAGTACTTGAATATGTAGAACATACAATGCAATATCAATTTATTGTTGGATAGAGTTCTTGTATACTCGTTATAACACAAATATTCAACACCGGAATCAAACCTTAGGTTGCATTATATTAAGACTACAATTACTATATAAAATTAAAGAAATGCTATTTTTTACATTTTGACTTACCACCATAGTTCTGCCAATGACGGAATGATTCCCAGTCAATGAGACCAAGCTGTCTTTTATATCAATTTTAGCTACTCCATCTTCCCCAGCAACTACATTTCCTAGATCACCATAGTGTCTTTCCTGGTCTTCTGGAGCACCATGAGTTTTACCCTCGGGGTTGAAATGTGAACCAGCACTAGTACAGCCTGACAACATAAAGCAATATCATGAATTCCACAATTTATTTCTTTCTTATTTTTTCTTTTTTTGAGAGAGAAATGTGGACACCTAATTGGGATAATTCATAGGTGGGCAATATATATATATATACATTTTCAGTATAACATATATTTCATAAGTTTGTCTGATATTTTAGTATCTTTCACCAGAGAAAGATACAAAAAATATTTGACACACAAATGAGACATTTTTGTTTACTGTTGAATACTCTATTACATTTTCACACACAAAATAGCCAAATTACTGACATATTTATATATGATATAAAAAGTTGAAGCTGACTTTGCTTTTCGTGGACACTATTCACTCATTATAACTTCACAGTATGCGAAAATATAGTCTGTTTTTTAAAAAATCATTAAAAATACATTAACACAAAAATAAATTTTAATATCAATTTGTTTGTTTAATCTCAGGAACAGAAAAATTATACAATAAAACATTCAGAGAGAGTTAAACCTGTGACAAGTTACTGTGTAGCTAAAAATATGGTGGCAACCAAGCTCCCACTGTTGATGAAATGAATCGTCTTTTAAATGTCCAGCTCTTCTTTAAAGACATTCGTTTGGTTATTGGTTTTAACCTCTGATAAGATCATTTGAGTTACTGGCTAGCATTGTTTTCTGACTTCCATGGAAATGAAAGATTACCATGGAATTGAACGTTGTGTTACTAGTAAATAACCTCTTCAGGTTTCTGGTTTCGTAATTTTGTACCTGGCTTCATGATCTGTCAATCTTTTAAGATGATTTGTGTTCTCTTTTCATTGAAAATAACAAGAGACTGGTTATGCAAAATTTAAGTATGAAAAATAAAGGGCAATAACTTCTAAAGTACGCAAAAGAGAGTGATGGTTCTGGTGCACTGCACTTCCTATTGAGATTTATCTACCTGTAAAGTTCCATGTTGACACCTCTTATAGTTTTTTGTGTTATGCTGCGGACAAAATTATGATGAACGGATGAACGAAGTGGCAACTTTATGCTCTCCCTACAGGGATCATAAAAATAACAAAAAGCTTTTATTTTTCACTAGCGAAACAAACCATTATTGTCAAAATCAAATTGCTGCATGTCAGCTATTTTTGTTTTTCGGATCAGCCCCTAAAAGAAACAATGAACAACTAAGGACAAAGAGGAATCTATATATGAAATTTGAAAAAGATCCATCCCGTACTTCTAAGCAAGAATTGTTTAAAGACAGATGAACAGACTGATAGCTGCAGGGCAATTTAAACAGCCAATCGTATGACAATGGCAGACTGAAAATTGTGTGTAGCTGCATAAGAAGAACTGAATCTATAAGGTCGCCAGATTTGTTTGCAGTGGCTGTACATGTGTAAACATGTTGTTATACAATCAGAGTACACAAGACCATTCATAAATTAATCTAGCAAGATTTATATAGAGTTTCCACAAATTTCATTTTGTAACTTGATTTTTTGTGTTGATAGAACATAAGCAGATACTTAGGCACATCTTTTATATAACAGCATTTAACAAAATCTTCATTTTTCCCGAGTATCCCTTTAAAATAACATCTAAAGTTTTAATATAAACATTAACACTTGTTTGATTATACCTGAAATGACTTCACTCTAAGTGTCCAGTTAACTTTGTTTGGTTTTTGGTTTTTTTGTTTTGTTTTTCTTTTTTGCAGCTAAGTCAGTGAATGTGTTGAAACTCTGCAATGTTTTACATCATTTGCAAAAATGCTTATTAATGTTTCTGTAATTTATACAAGAGGCCCACAGTCATCCTATTATAAAGACCTATATATGAAAGAGGCCAAATAGGCCTAAAATAAATTGTTCAAATACACTAAAGCTTACATAGAAGACATTGGTTGGTTCATAAAGACATTTTACGTAACTTGGAAGCCATACATCTAGCAAGCTAGAGGCCCAATATCAGCAACCTGGACCTTCTGGTTGCTGATAAGTCATTGATTTGACCCCTTGAAAGTGGGCAAAGGTCATTCATATTAACACACTTGGTAGCCCTTTATCCAATCATGCTACAGGCTGAATATCAGAACTCTGGGCGTTTAGTTATTGAAAAGTCATTTTAATGGAAAATTTACACACGGTGGAGAACATTGGATGAACTATGACGGCTATGATGAACATGATAAATATAAAGCCACTGTAAGTATTTAACTTATAGATCAGCTCATTTTTTCTGACAACCACAGTTTAAAGAGAAAAATGGCTGCCATTCTCATTAGTGTTTTCACTGTTCGATAGGTTAATAATGACAAATCCTACTAGACAACCTTGCATTAGAGATGTGTTCTTTACACTATGACCAAGACAAATATTGAAGTGGCAGGCATATAGCATGAATCCCTTGACTATTTGTCAACCATTCTCATTAAGAATAAATACAAACTGACAACTATTTAAAAGTTAATTTTACCATTGGTATTGTCCCCATACTCATGCACATGGAAGCCATGTTTCCCTGGTGCCAGTCCCTTCAGCTCTCCTGTCAAGTGGACCGGGCCTGAGCCATCCTGAGAAATTTCCAGAAACACCAATATTACTCAAAATAAACATGAAGACATTTTGGGCTATTAGTAAGTCATGTCCACAGTTAAGTGCATACACGTATATATACAATCATGTTCAGTAGGCGTGGCTACCAAAAATAGACTAGTATTGTATTCTCAAGTCACATTAAATATTAACCTTTGTCAAGGTATTATCATATCCGGTAGGTTCCTACTGGCCTCGTCTGTAAATAACTTAACATTCAATAGATAAATAATCAAGGTGGCTAAATTCATTTCGAGAAACCGGTGATTGTCAGTAAACCATTAAAGATATATCGCTGAACAGTTGAGTATCAACAAGTGAGGCAAGAACAGGTACCTGTGTATATATGTTCATTTACCCAGGTACCACTACCTGTAAATTAATCTTGTGTATTGGTATGCGAGCGTATCACAGACGAGGCTGCTACATGTAGTGTTACAGCCACCTTGTGTCACAGGGTTATGTTGACATCATATTGGATACTAATATGATATGATGGTAATAGCTTAACTATATAACTCAAGTTGTAAAAGCAGCCAACAGTGGATATCGAGGTCAATCTGTTAGTCAAAATATGTATGCATTCTATAAAAAATGAGAGTATGTCACGGACAAGTAACATGCAGTATGTTTCTAAAGCTTACCTGTTGAAGGAAATTTACAACACCAGTAACTGACGAATCACCCTTCAACACGCAAACAGCTTTAACAGACATGCTTAGATTTATACAAATATGACCTATGTACTAGCGGCATTCACCACGACTTAGACCACTCAATACAACCATTTATCAAAATGAATATAGGCCGGAAACTGAAGTGATTCCGAATTGTGATGTCTCGTAACATGGCGTCGTTCGTTCCAATAGACCTATCCTACTTGACGACATGGTAAAGTCTATTTTAAAAACATGACGTCTTACATATTTGAAGGATTATTTCATAAAATACCATTTAGCACATCATACAAATAAGTTTATTTCCGCATTGATAATGTTCGGATTTTTATATTAACCTACATGTTGTGTCGTGTGCATAAAGTGTTATTTCGTACCGTGCGCAGAGATATACGAGGATTTATCTCCCCCTCGACCTCGCGGTAGCAGAAAACAGTTAATTTGCATTTTTCCCGAAATTATTGGTCATGTTTGAGATATACAGGTATAGCAGATAAGTTTTAAAATACATCATTACATATATATATGTATATACTTCATAACAATTACATTAATAGTAAAGAGATAAAATTTGTGTAAATAAAAAAATCCTCTGATTTCTGACATGTGATTGCCATGGTTACCAACTGAAAACATGCTGAAAATGAAAAAAATACTGCTAATTCCAATCTAACACTGCAACCTTCTAAAAAAATATTTCTAAACACCTATCTTTAAATCAACAACACTGTTATGGTAACAAAGTACTCACATTTCAGCAAATTCCAACTCTGAAATCCTTCATAACATGACCACGTGTAAACACTATGAAACTTTCACTTCCTGTAAAGCTAGTTTTTGGTGCGTAGACACAGATTCGAGACTGCCCTAATAGTAATCTCAAATACAATTCTAAAATATTATTCTGAAAAAAATGAAACCTCACATTGTTCACTTTAACATGACAAGACCAATTTTAGCAAGTATTATCATTTTAAATTTTAAGTAAACCCTTTATAATAGGATAATCTAATGAACAAAAAACTGTACTGACGCCCGTGGACAAGGTGAACGAATCACTGAATACCTGGCCTTATTCTAGTACTTATAACTTTTTCAAGAGTCTTGGTGTTAACCTCTCTTTTTTCACATTTTGCTCTCGATTGATCATAATTTCATTTTACTTCGAAGCAATTCTGATGAGTTGTTGATATTTTCTGTGTTGTACTGAGAACCACTCAGCCGTGACACCTCAGGAGAAATAATGTGGACAAAGCGGAAAATAAATTCGTCAGGTTTTTTTTAAAAGTACAGCCCCTTTACCAAGACCATATATATGTTATGCCTGGAATATATCGAATCTCCAAGGTGGGTATTTATTGGTGGTCAACAGGATAGAAAAAAATGCTCTGTATTTTATGAACTACCGATATTACAACTATCGAATTTCACAATAACTATACAAATTGAAAGGTCCCGGTATTTCCGGGTTTTTCATGTACCGAAGATACTTACTGAAAAATAGCTCATGACCGTCCAAGTCGCCCGGGAAGCATTGTCCTCTTAAAAGTTCAACAGTGAAAAAGTCTTAAAATGGATTCTATATATCTGTGAATATTTCGAAGAAAAAAAAAATGGAAAAAACGGGCATTGCAGTGAATTCATTGCAATAAGTAGGGCTGAACCAGCGTGTTTTATGGGAAATCTAGGAACAATACCACTGGTTTAAGCTGAACAAAAATCGTGTTATTGTTACAAATGGGACAACTGATTATCCATTAAAAAATTAATGGTACTTGCTCGAGCTTCTGGTTGAGGTGGTCTGCAAGGGCGCTTTATCTGTACAATACTTGTACTGTAGATCAGAGACGTATATATACGTCTCTGTGTAGATTTATGCCTGTAAACATAGGAAGTTGCTATTTGTGTTTACTTTCGTGTCAAGCATAAGGAAAATAGTAGATATAGAAAAAGTCTACAGTTTTAGATTACTTCAAAGCCAAGTTACGCACGATCAATGTTGTCGTTTGTTTATTGAGAACAAGAACTCACAGTGACGTAAAACGGCGCTCCGTAACGTATTATTAGTAGTTATCATTAGGATGACCCTTAAATGAAATAGAGTAGATGAGTGTTGAAGATTTATCCATTCTTTCCCTTTGCACGAACGCACACTGAATTCTGCATCTCTTTCTTTTATCCCGGATTCTATTTTCGTGGAAAATTTACACGAGTACTCTGCAATCGATGACGTCACAATAGGCAAACTTTACCGCTATTTTCATGACGTTATCATATTCGTGTAAAAATGGTAGCGCATCATAACCGACAGACCGATGGTGGCGTAAATAATGCAATGAGCATCGTTTTACCTAAAAGGGCTAATGTTGATTTCCTAGCACCTTCGCAGGCTTTACAGGATGCAAAGAAGAAACTTGGACCTGTCTATTTTGATGCCAAATTAATAGAATGTCCACAAAACGCAGTGGAACTTTCAAAGCTCATACAAGAATGGGATGAGATAGACAAGAAAAAATTCAAGATTATCGAAGAAACCAGAAGAAATCAGAGAGTTTTGTTACATACATTGGGTTCTAAGTATACTTTTTCTAAACATGTCACAGGTCTAGATTCTGCCTCCGATCTACGAGACGCGAAGCTTCCACCTCCAGGCTTCCGATATCATTCTAATGGAGCCCCAAAACTGTCGCTTGTTCAAGATCAAGATATCTTTTCTGAATATTCTCCATCACAAAGTTGGTTAGAATTAAAGTCTGAAGGAGACGAGGAGCCATTCGGGTTACCTCTAGGTGCTCCTCGACGTCATCTGTACAAGAAAGATATTGAAGATGCTTCGAAAACTGCTATTGAAAATATATCCGGTAACGTTAGCCTATCGTCCACAAATTCGGACTTTCAACCGGCGATAACAGATAAATACATTCCAGGTGAATCAAGAATAACTATTGCCAAGATTGAGAAGGAGGAACCGTCAATTAATATCGATTATGAAAACGAAATTAAGAATCTCGAAAACATCATAAAGGAAATCAACGAGGACTTGGAAAAAAATAATATTGATCTGCATGAAAATTCTGGCAGTGCCAAAGGTAAAGTTTATGCATTCCTTAGAGCGCATGCTCGCGGTGACAAAGTGTCTCTTAAACAACTAGTTGAACCTCAAGAATGGTCAAGACCTAACGATAGATTTGCAATACCACCCGGGTCATCCACGTTTGATGTTCGCGATCCTTTACGAAAATCGAAGAGCTCTAAATCTGATCTGCATAAAAGGAAAATTAATACCCGGAACCACGGTAACTGTGTGGCATGTGTGTGTAAAATCAAAGACCACAATGCCGCGTTAAGCCAAAAGAGGAAAGACGTAAGTAAACTTGTCCTAAAGCGATGGAATAGCTCGACACGCGGGAATCTGAATGAGAGCTCAACATTTCTATCGACAGCGTTTCTAAATAAGCGCGCTTGTTCAGCAGTTGCTTTGCGTAGAAATCACAACAGCTCTCCACGAGCAGATAATGCTTCGCCCATTAGGTCCTCGAAAACTACTGTTCCTCATAAGGACGAGGAAGGAAAATATCCACTGACCAGACACACCAAGAAATCTTCGCAGGTGATGTTTAGGACAGAAAGTCTGTCTAGCAATAATGATTCACTACTTCGGACCGCAAAGAGCACTCCCGAAACTTCAGTACGAAAGCAAGTTAGTTCTAGAGAACACCTGAGAAATACGAAGAGTGCGATGAGCGAGAGGAAAATTGATGTACTTGAGAGAAGAGCTCAGAGTGCTTTGTTCGCCCGACCTTCGTCTTGTTTAAGGGATCGTCAATCTAGAATGGAATTCCTCAAAGAGGATGCGGTAAGTTTAAAACTTAAGTGTAATACAGTGACAACACTTTTGATAAATAAGGATCACAAGTCGGTACTGTTTGGTGAGCAGTGTTTAGCGTAGTAAAGACTTTGATGATTGAGGTTCTGTACTATACAGCATATACAGTGTATATCAGAAGTAAAACATTGGTCTTCACCAGAGAGAATTAATGAAAACCATTCTAGTAGGATGTTGATATACCAATCTTTGTTACAATGGTGTCCTCGTCGTTAGCTTGAATAGATATGTATTTAGTTGTTTGTTTATTTGTTTCTTACTGTTTTTCTGTTGCTTATAAAACATGGATACAACCTATAAATAACAATTGCTTTTAACACGGTCAGGGATTGCTTGGAAGATTGTTTAAGTTATCAACAACACAATGTTACTCGAGTGACTTAAGTTTATTACTGTAGGACTCTTACTCAAATTTAGATTTTTAGCTCTGGTGTACGTATCGCCATTCATTTAAAACTCCATTCTTTTCATCTATGTCTAGATCAAGCAAGATATTTCGTTCGTATCATTTTACTATCCTCTGTATCTTAAAACGGGGAGGATGTTTGGATAGCGCAATTCGCTCGTTGAACTTTAATTGTGTTTGGTCGTAACCAAAACTATTTACCGACAAACAAAGTTTTACAGCGTGAACATTTCATATTCTGGTTTCACAAAAATTAACATTTAACGAGTGTGAGTCAAAATGTCAAAACTATTACTGCAGAAGAAGATCTTGATGCTACAGTGGATAACTCAAACTAAATACGCCAGCTATTGTGTCAACAAAACAAAAACAATAATGGGTTTATATTTCAATCTTTTTTACATGAACAATTGAAGAAATAACTTATCTTCTCTGCTAATGTTAAAAAATATCACATATCCGTAACTGATAATGAGATAAGATTTACACAGAAAATATCGACAAGGAGAGAATAATGTTAACCATTCACAATGTAGGCCTGTATAATCACTGACAAGTTCCGGATGGACAAAACAGCTGTATGGTGCATTTCCTTACAAAAGGTGTATTTTGCTGTTCTGTTTCCAATACTATGTTTCATTGAAAGTTTTACTTTTTTTGTCTTTTGTACAATTGCAGGTAGTAGACACTGCTGGTGGAATTTAGTTTAAGTTTGCCGTAAACTGCGTGTCACGTTTAAGTTTACAAACACGTACATTATCATATTTGCACTTCGTATTCTTCGAAATCGTCTGAAATTAATACTTGAAATAGAATTGGGGACTAGTGTATCACTCCATCTGGCTTTTGACGCTCATTTGGACCAATTTTGACTTTCCTCGGTCGCTTCCCAGGCTTTTTACAACTCGGGTCTTTGGCATCACTGATGATTCTTTACAGCTGTATAGTTCAGGTTTATTCAATATTTGGTTATATTTTATCAAATTTCAAATTTAAAGTTCAACACATAAGCGTTTTAAAAGCAATCTACGAAAATATCATCATTAGTGTATTATAGAGTGACCGGTCAATGGTTACTGTAGATAGCCCGGCATGTATGAGTTCAAAACAGAAATAGATCACATGACCGCTGACTTTCCAATGGAAACACAGCTGAAGTGATATAATCAACAAGTAAACCATTACATAATGCTTTAATTTTCAGCGTCTGGAAGAACAAGAATGTACTCGAAAAGTGGAAGCGTTCATCAAGAAAATGAAGAAAATGACCGCGCCTCCTAAACCGAGCATTGCATTTCTTTAGTATTTCACAAACTCTGCATACCTAGGGGACATGTTCGGGTCAAATAGTGGGACTCTCCGTAATCAATAAATACAAAATAAAATGTGCTTGTCTAGTACTAGTTTTTTTTTAATGTAAATGAGTTTCATTTTGTTGAGCATGATGTTTTTACAACGGCGAGAATAATCGAGGTACTTACAAATATCAAAAGTTTCCATACTACCGTGCGCCTTCAAAACAATCTTACTGACAATTAATTGGTAACCTGACAGAAATTATCTGGTATACAGGAAAGTTATTACTTCGGTGAATAGAAAATACGATTGGTATTTGAAAAGACCTCACCGTCTTTCCAGAGATGTTGGTCCAATCATTTTTCAATGATGTCACGGCTTAGAGGATAGCGTAATCATTTTTTAAGGGTGTCACGTCTTACAGGATAGCGTATTCATTTTTCAAGGATGCCACGTCTTAGAGGACAGCACATTCGTTATCATGTCTGTCCTACTGGTCCGAAGGACTATCCCTTTCGTCCTGCCGGTATCAACTTTTCCCTTAGTTTAAATGTATTTTATTTGAAAAATTAAATTGGATTGGACACAAGTAATTGGACACAAGTAATAACACTTAGGAACGTCCTCTTTCGTAAACAATTATACAATGGTAGCAAACATATGATGGCAGCATTTAACGATAAAAGAAAATCTATCCTTATATATGTATATAAAATAGAAAGGAAGAAAACAAAAACTTAATATTATACAGATGAAGGCATGCATCTTCCCTTTATCAGTTCAGATAATTTACCTGATATGACATAAATATTAGTGTTTCTATTCATATGAATAGATATTTATTATTAAGTTTCGTAATCAGTTTCTGAACATGAATTTTGCTATTTCAGTAAACCAATAGTGGTGATTTGATACTAAAGCAAATTTATGCAAACCGATTCGTATTTTCAATGTATTCTTTCGTACAAACAATCGTATGTTATCATTATCAGCCAGGTTCAAATCAGGAGAGTCGTTCAACAGTACATCTAGATAAACAACTATGTCATATCTGGACAATTTTCTGTAAATCACGACAAATGTATTTATAATACTGAAAAATAAAATGAAAATGGTTTTCTATTAAGTAAGAACAGTTTTGTTCAATAATAACAATTTTTCTGTTTTCTTCTGTTTTCAGGTTTTTCCCGTACAGTTTCATTATATAAAAACTATTGACTATTGATTATATCTTCACATATTCCAAGATAGGCTTGAAGAATACAATGTATAGTTTAGATAAAATTTCATTATTCACCGTAAATTTCAGTTCTCATAAATGTTTAGAGGCTGATTTGACAATATTCGCGGTATGTGTTTCCCACTAGCCACTTTCATTTACATTTTTCCCAAGATGTGCGGCACTGTTTGTTAACATCGTGTTGTTTAAAGTAAACCGAATATCACGTCTTTCTTGCGAACCAGTGAAACAATTACGTCTGTTTTATTAGGATTAAGTTACATTCCATTCCTTCGCCCAGTGATCAGTCACTGCTAAATCATGGTTCATATAATATTCCATTCCATCATTTGAAGAATATGAGAGCGAGGTGACGTCAGCAAACATTTTTGAAAGTGAAAATAAGTTTCCACAAATATAATTAATACCCAACAAAAATAGAAATGTTCATAAAACAGAACCTTGTGGTAAACAAGCATTAGCATGTTCCCGTGTACGAAAAAGCTTCGCGCAAATAATCACACAACCAATTAGAAAATATTGCCTTTAAAACCATTTGCTTTTTCATTAGGTCATATATCAAACTCTATCAAAGGCTTTTGAGATATAAAAAAAATACCTGTTTTTTGCTTGTTTTTTTTTAATGATGGTAGGCAAATTGTATGATAAATTTCCAGTAATTGTGTAACAGTAGAGTGACCCGGAACGAACCCTGACTGATGTTTATACAAAGGTTATTACTGATGACAAAGGTATACAGATGTTTGTTAATTACTCGTTCAAACACCCTATTTCTGTAACGCTCCATCATTGGAAGGAAATAAAGGAAATAAGAATAATTGAAATTACCGAAATGAGGTATTGGTCTATAATTAGAAGATAGCAAATGTTCATCCTCTTTAAATAATGATACGACCATAGGTATTTTCCACTGAATTAGAAACTTACACTGACTTAGAGATCAATTGAAAAGCAAACAATTAGCGAGGTATACAAACACTTTCTGTGGTATTTTTTGGGGTTTCGTGACTATTTTTATCTTCTACGGTAGCTTTATTTGACTTCAGTGTTAAAAATATCCTTTATTTCCGTTTCAGAGGAAATAATAGTTTCAATTGAATTAGGACATATTAAAGGAAAATCTTGGATGATAGAAGGCTAGTTAAGTAAATCTGTTTTTCTTTATCTTCATACACTAAATCACCTTTATCACTGTTATATAATGAGGGAACTGATTCTGATTTAGCTGTATCACCAATAAGTCGACATTTAAGTTTCCAATATTATTTAGAATTCTTTAAGGCAAACTTATCTATAATGCCGTTACACTGTTGCTTGAATTTCAAAATGTCGCATAGACGATTGAATCTACGTGCATTTTTGTATAATCTTTCCCTTTGCCTGATTTCCCTTGAAATATATTACTGTTATCTCAATTAACAAGAGGCCGAGAGTCATGATAGCCCGACGAGGAAATTACCTTGACCTATATTCAAGGTCACAGCGGTAGAATTTCAAACTTCTGATGATTTAAAGGTCAGGAATCATATTTGACTAGTAGGTTTCTGGGATAAAGCTCTACATAGTTTGTGAAAAGAAGTTATCCATATACAAGGCCTGACACGAGTTAAATTGGTTAAAACCTTCAAACACTTTCTTTTGATAAACAAAATTACCTCGAATCGCGGTATTTGTCTTATATTCCCGAGAAAATGCACGCCAAAGTTTGCGAAAAGAAGTGAAATTGACTCCTATTCAAGGCCACGGCGGTCAAGTTTGTTAGAATTTCTAACATCTCATCATTAACCCAAAGTCTTCGAAACGTGTATTTGGCTGGTGCGTTCTTGAGTAGATTCACAATAATAGTTGCGGAAAGAAATGACCCCCGATCCACAGGGGTCAAAGTTGTAAAAAAATTTCAATTGACTTCTTTTGTTCAACAAAAGACCTATAATCATATTTCATCTGTCAGATTACGAATTACCTTGACACATATTCAAGGATTAGTGGTATTTTTAAAACATTTGAACGACTTCTTTTGAATACTTTCAATAGGCCCAGAATTATGATAATTGGCGGATACACATTCAAGATAAAGCCCGACTAAATTTGCAAAAGAAAATACATTTCCTTGACCCAGATCTAATGTCACTGTCTTCGAACGGATTCCTTTGAATATCTGAAATGCGTTGAATCATGATATCTAGTGGTTGGCTCCTTGAATAAAGTCGGACAAAGAATATAAACGAGCCATATTAAAGCACCGGTGTCTAACTGGTATGGCGAGTTACCGCCAGATTTGACATTAACGTGATTAACAATAAAATGGAGGTAAAAATTGATTTTAAATTTCGATGAATTCGGATAGGTAGTCTCAATGAGCTGTATCGAAATACCAATTATCAGAAAAGATATCTTGGATATTGGTAACGGGTTTTTTTTTACAGATCGTCAAATTTGCTTCCTGAAGCAATATGTACTAAAACCTGATGGGTTTCCCCGGTTTCATGTGCACTTTTGACACACACTGCACACATGTGCCAACTTTTAGGCAACTGAACCTAATCCAGTGTGATGAGATGGAGCTTAAATCCCAGCCTTAAAAATTGGTACAAGCCTGCGCTGATACCGAAAAACTGAAAAATAAAATTAGATAAAAAAAAACTGTTATGTGTTTATGCTTTCGATAACGAATTTACGATTAAAATGTCGATGATTCCTACATCAATTGTCTATAACACGGACGGTAAGACATTATTCCCACGTTAGTCGAATTCATGGGGTCAAAGTTCAATCTCAGTTACTGAAATCATGAAATTACTTTTTTGTTGTGATTTAAATACACATTTTTAATGAACTAATTCTAGTGGCTAGTGTCCTTTTAGTGACATAGAGTTCTACTTGATAGTGTTGGAGACATGGTAGAATGTCCTTTCATTCGTACCTTCAAGATTATACGAGGGCTCATTGGTCAGTTGCGAGCATTTTATTGAAGAAGTTAAGCAGCGATGTCCTTTTTCAGCTCTTCTATTCCCAGACTGTTGTTATGTGGTCAGTTTATGTCGAAGAAGTAGCATTCTAAAGTAAACAAGGCAAGTGACTTTTGCGAAAAGGACATCATCGCTGAAAGAGCAGTGATTCAATATTTGCCTATGAAAGGTTTGTCATCTAAGGATATCCATACTGATATGGTAGCAACACTAGGGCATGATGCTTTTTCATATGCTACAGTGAAAAGGTGGATGTCGAAATTTAACCGTGGCAGGCAAAGCCTTGTGGAACAATAGCACCAGACTTCACCTATTTCCAAAATTTAAAAGGGCCATTTCCGGTACCCACTTTCGGTCAGATGATGACATCATACATGCAGTGGAGCACTGACACCCTTAAACATCACTGGCAAAAGTGTATAGATACTGGAGGAGATTATGCAGAAAAAAATAATGCAATGTGTCCGCCAAAAGTCAAACCCTCAAATATGAGGCTTACAACTTATAAATTAACCCTCGGTAAATGTACATGTGAAGGGATAATCCTACCATTGTATTTATCTTTTGTTGTGTATTTTCCTATACACTTCCTATCTGTAATCGTACATACCACTTTCCTGATGTACATGTTCTATATTTAGACACGACGACTCGAATTCATATTTATCTGTCGTCATTAGTCACGCACTGAATTAGGTGCCCTGTCAAGGTAAAGTGCCATACCTCTTTGTCTTCCAGAAGATAACACGTCAGTGTTTTAAATAATTTAATATAAGTACTTTAAGTGTGTTCAAAACGTCAAATACCAAGTTACAGATGCAGGACCATATGGCCTCTTGCTTAAGGATGTCATGGCAATCCATTACCTTGTGTATCTCGTAATAAGGAATGTAAACGAAGGAGACTTTTACAAGAAAGACCTGGCATGAATTCGAGGTCCACGGTCCTTATACATTTTTGGGATCGCACAACGTTACACGATTTGCGATGTGCCTACGATGTCCGCACGGATAAAACACATCTGTTCGCACGTTGTGCGCTTCTATCGCAAAGATGTGCGAATCTATCGTGGTTGATATAAATTCAGAAATGAATAATATATGTGTGGGGTAGGGTTTATTTATTTTCAAATATACAATGTATATCAGAGTACAACTAAGTATAATTCCTAATTAAGCCATATACCTATATATGTTAGATACATGCTGCAGATCTTCACTTTATACACCTTATACATGATCAGTCTTAGTATATATAACAGAAAGGAAATTAATTTTCATTACTTCTGTATTACTCTAATTTCACTATCATTTGGCAAACAAAAAATATATGCTCAGGTAAGTGTCAAATTCTTTTTATCTTTTCCAAAAGATGTTTGATAAAAATATTGGTTATGTATTTACCAAGATATGACCTGATGAATTCAGAAATATGTGTAGAAATGGCTAGATAGACATTTCCTTTTCCTATTGAAACGTCCCCTCGTTTCTAATGGCTACCTTAGTTACTGTTGGAATCGCACAATCTGCGGATGTCGTTATGTCTTGTACGTGTCTACGGATGTCGTTATGTCTTGTACGTGTCCTCGGGTGTCGTTATGTCTTGTACGTGTCCTCGGGTGTCGTTATGTCTTGTACGTTGTCTACGGATGTCGTTATGTCTTGTACGTGTCCTCGGGTGTCGTTATGTCTTGTACGTGTCCTCGGGTGTCGTTATGTCTTGTACGTTGTCTACGGATGTCGTTATGTCTTGTACGTGTTTACGGACGTCGTTATGTCTTGTACGTGTCTACGGATGTCGTTATGTCTTGTACGTTGTCTACGGATGTCGTTATGTCTTGTACGTGTCCTCGGGTGTCGTTATGTCTTGTACGTTGTCTACGGATGTCGTTATGTCTTGTATATGTCCTCGGGTGTCGTTATGTCTTGTACGTTGTCTACGGATGTCGTTATGTCTTGTACGTGTCCTCGGGTGTCGTTATGTCTTGTACGTTGTCTACGGATGTCGTTATGTCTTGTATGTGTCCTCGGGTGTCGTTATGTCTTGTACGTTGTCTACGGATGTCGTTATGTCTTGTACGTGTCCTCGGGTGTCGTTATGTCTTGTACGTTGTCTACGGATGTCGTTATGTCTTGTACGTGTCCTCGGGTGTCGTTATGTCTTGTACGTGTCTACGGATGTCGTTATGTCTTGTATGTGTCCTCGGGTGCCGTTATGTCTTGTACGTTGTCTACGGATGTCGTTATGTCTTGTACGTGTCTACGGATGTCGTTATGTCTTGTACGTGTCTACGGATGTCGTTATGTCTTGTACGTTGTAGAAATTCCATATTTAGATATTATACAGGGATGTAATGCGAAGAAATTTCAACTTTAACAAAACTTGACGACTTTTGATTCTGAACCTTTCTTGCATCTTTTCGAAACGTTTTTTAGTTTCTGTTCATTTTTGTCGTTATGTCATACCCGGTCTTGGCTTCGACCCAGTCCAGGATTATAATAAATGTTATATTTCTCAGAAAGAAACAATTAAATAAACTTCAAATTTTCTTTCAATATACTTGTAAATGTTTACATCAGGGACATTCGTCTCTGTTTATATCGGCGATTTGCATTTTTCAGGACATGAAAACTCGAATACAGCACTCAAATATGAAATTGTAATGAACTCATTCAAAGTACTGAATTATGCAAAAAGTGTAAGTATATATAGGTCACTGAAGTCTACACAGTACAGGGATACTGAAACATATTGCCCGAGTGTAGGAGTAAGGCTTGAACATTTTGTATTTATGAGTTATACGTGAAACATTTTTGGATATGGAAGCATTTTTGAATCTTGGAGGCATTTTAAACGCCTTACCACGAAAGCTGTTTTTTATCATCCTGACATTATGACGTTGTGATATGGACAAACGTGTCCATCGGTGATTTAATTTACACCAACAAATGGAAAAAAAAGGAAGAAATAGTTACAGAAACCAAAACCATTTTTTTTACACAGAAACTGTTCACATAGTTTATCCATGCGCGTGTACCACAAGATTGACGTGGGAATTATGTTTTCTGATTGGCTGGTTGTTTCTGTGACCAGTGTTACATCAGCACATGTAACATCATATAAAACGCTAACTGAAACAAACATCAGGAATAGCTGTAGCAACATCGGAGAGACTTCTCTTCCCAATGTTGGAAAAACCTATAGGTAAGTGTACATCGAATTTCCAATAATTTGTTTAATTAAAGTGTGATAAACCTTGTCGCAAAATAATATAAAATTACAATTGGAGTTTAGAAGCACTCTTACCATGTTCCTCGTGTGTTGTATATCAAATAAAGTAACTCAAACGAAGTGTTAAAACCCAATAAGATAGAACATAGTTTTGGTGCTTTGCTTTCCGAATAAAAAAAGGATAAAGCAACGAAGAAACTAACTAACGTTTCATAACTTAACTTTTAGTCTTCTTTTCTACTTACAGTATAAAAATCAACAAATGTTTGATTTGTAAATGTTGCCACGTATCCGTATCACGCACTCCTTGTCCGTGTTAGGTGTTACGAACTGTAGTATACAGATAATAAAACATCCACGTATGAACTGTTCCAATTCTTTAGCTTGAACATGAACATGTCCAGGGTACGATCAGCAACTCTTTCCAGGTGTATACCAACGTTAACTTGCCAGGTGGTTAAACGTGAAGGGGATATGAACTATGTTCCCAATTGTAGTGAGAGAGACATATTCGATCATCTTACTTTTTACAGCAATAAAGAACGCTTCGTTTTTATAAATAACCTGTAGTCCTTTACACATCTTATTGTGAATTTATTCGCTCTATCGTTTTGATCAAATCATGTTGTTTCGATTTCTCGCTTACAAACTGTTCTAAGAGCAATGTTGATTATCTTATTCCCACGCTTGCAAATGAAATACACACGTATAACTGTCACTACTTCCCACCATCGGAATGCAAGGCAATCTACCAAACACGCACAACCGTAGTCCACAGCCTTTCCGGAATACTGGGAAATCTAGTCTAGTTTTCCTTTCTCGATATTTCTAGAAATTGTTACTATCTATTGAAACATATTCTTAGTACGGGAAAGAGTAACACGATTTCATAAAGGCGACATCGTATTTATAGCTTGTCCCGCTGTGCGATACCGCGGGAGAATGGCTTGTTGGTTGTTGGATGGTAGAGCAGGAGAATCGCATATAGGATGTTGGGCGGTACCGCAGGAGAATGGCTTGTTGGTTGTTGGGCAGAACCGCGGGAGAATGGCCTGTTCAGGGGCGTAGCTAGCCAAGCAGAAATGTGTAAGCCCAGGCGAGGGGTCTGGGGGCCGCCTAGGCCCCAAGAGGGTCCAGAGCAGGGCCCTGGTGTGGGATCGGGGGGTTGGGGAGGCAGGGGGGGGGGCAATGTCCATGACGATTTCCTTATCTTGGTTACATGTACCTTCGGTCTTTGATGTGTCACTTTTATTGTGGTCACTCGATTCGACTTTATTTCGTTTGAAAATTTGCTCTTTAACAACATTTTAATCGGAAACGTTAAAATGATAGTAAGAAGTAGGATAGTATGACGTGTATAAAGTTCCGGAAAGCAATGCACTAGGCCTAGTTTTTAAAGTTTTCTATTTCTATTTTTTTTTTATTTATCAAAAATATAAGATATTTATTTTCAACCTTAGTTTTGTAATTTTGTCCGACATACTCTATGCATGGATTTTTTTATGTGTAAGCCCGGGCTTTTTCTTTCTATGGAAGCTACGCCCCTGCTGTTGGTTGTTGGGCGGTATCGAGGGAGAATCGCTTGTTGGTTGTTGGGCGGTACCGCAGGAGAATCGCTTGTTGATTGTGGGCGGTATCGCTTGTTGGTTGTTGGTCGGTACCGGGAGAATCTCTTTTTGGGAGAATCGCTTGTTGTTTGGTAGTCTGGTTGTTGGGCAGTGACTTGTTTGTTGGGCGCGGGAGAATCGCTTGTTGGTTGTTGGGCGGTACCGCGGGAGAATCGCTTGTTGGTTGTTGGTCGGTACCGCGGGAGAATCGCTTGTTGGTTGTTGGTCGGTACCGCGGGAGAATCGCTTGTTGGTAGTTGGGCAGTACCGCGGGAGAATCGCTTGTTGCTTATTGGTGGGTACCGCGGGAGAATCGCTTGTTGGTAGTAGGGCGATACCGCGGGAGAATGGCTTGCTGGGTGTTGGGCGGTACCGCGAGAGAATGACCTGTTTTTTGTTGGGCGGTACCGCGGGATAACCGCTTGTTGGTAGTAGGGCGGTACCGCGGGATAACCGCTTGTTGGTAGTTGGGTGGTACTGCGGGAAAATGGCTTGCTGGGTGTTGGGCGGTACAGCGGGAGAAAGGCTTGTTGGTTTTTTTTGGCTTGTTGCTTGATTCAGTTGGTTCATAACCATGATTGTAATGTCAAACAATTTCTTGTTTAAAATAAAAGAGACAAAATGCACACAATGTGCTTCCAGCGAAAAGATATTTAGGAAGGTATCTTACAATGTTGAAGTTTGAAGTTTTTGAAGAACAAAAAGTAGGAATAGCGTTAAAACTCGTATTATTTACAATTGTTGTGATAATATAAGTAGTAAGTGGTACTCTAAAATTCAGATTCTGTAAGCAGGTGCAACAAACAAAACAAAGCCCAGTATACATTGTTTCTTGTCAAATAAACATTCCCCCCAACCCATCCCTTCACCCCATCCCTTCACCCTAACCCTCCCAACCTCCCAAATACTTATTTTCCGTAGTATACATATTTATTTTCTATTTCAAGGTAGCATAAACAAATGATATTCCAACGTACCAACACAATCAGCAATATCCTCTGTACATAGAAACTGTGGCGGCAAGTTCTAAAATCAACTCCATCTCGTGATTGTGACGACAAGGCTTGACATACTTTTATATACGTTTTTCAAACTATTTTGTCGACGATTAGATTATTTCATTCGTCATTGAGAGCTTTAAGATATCGCAGAATTTCGTTTTCTTGTCGGAATATTAGTTTTACGATCTTTCAAACTTTTTAGACGTAATCGTCCTTGAATCTGACATTCGGGATAGGACGATGGTCACCCACATGACCGCATGGTCGAGCCCGGTTATGTTTCCCTTTCGAAAAAAGGTAAACGAAATAAAATTGTTTGTGTTCGATGTTTTCTGTCCGTCAACAATTATACAAGAAAAAAATTATTTTCATTTGCCAATATGATATATCACAAATCGTTGCGGAAACCTTATGACAAAAATGCTCAATGCGTCCAACACAGAGAATTGCGGTTTATGAATTATTAAGCAGTTCATCTATTATTGGTCACGACATATGACGGTGTGGTAATCGGATATACAGAAACGTGACAATACATTGTGGCTTAAAATGTCATTAAGGGACTTGAATCCACACAACTCTCCTTACAATAACGTCATCACATCTACCGGCTGATCACGTTTCACAGCTTGGTTAAACAGAATTCTAGCTATTAAGATTAGGTTCATTACCGGCTTACATCTATAGTCATCAATAACAGAACGGTTCCTGTCTGTAATTTGTGAGGTGGGTGGGGTTGGGGGAGAGGGGGAGGGAGCAAAATTAGGTACTGATATCACCTTTTCAAGTATTTTTCCCCAAATACACCTTTATATTCTCACTGGAAAAAAGCGTTTTACCTAACCATGTTGTTACACCGTTTTGGATGTTTTTCTTTTCTGATATTTGATTAGTTCGATCACGTTTGAGAGGTAGTTCCAAGTTTGTGTTTTTTTAATTATTGCTATTATTACAAGTTAACTGGTAAGAAGCATTTGTATATCACTGTATCGTTAATGTCTAACTCCCTGGCGTTTTATCATCTGTTTCCAAGACATCAGTAGATTTTTGTTTTGTGTTGTTGTAATGATTCAAATGGATACTTACAATACTTAGCCCATTTATTCTATGTTCAAGAAGCATCTTGTAACATCAATAATTAATGTCAATATCATTTTTATATGATTAACATTATATTCTAGTAATACTGATTTTTTTTAATCAAAGTAAGCTCATCATCAGTTATTTGATAGTTTTCCACGTGAAACAAATGGTTATCTAATGGGGGTAACCCCAGAAGCTTTAAATGGAATTTTATAGCTTTCATTTCGCCAAGTACACCTTGTACAATGTCCGCGTGTCAGATCAGTTGTGCTGTCGCTGCTACGATCATTAACATATTATTCCAATGGGACTCGTATAGCTGTAGTCTAAATTATTCTGAAGTTCTATCGACTTTAGAACGTTAGAATAATCTTTGGACTGCCTTTGTCCATTCAATGTGTTATTAGAGGTATGATATCCATACGTGACCGACATAATCTACAATACAAATGAGAACGTACAATACATTTATAAGATGTGCGAAAATGCTAAAGATCCGAAAAAAAACCTTTTTATCAGTGCATACCTGATCCTGTATACGTACCAGAGTTACTTCCCTTCGTTTAAATTGATAATTTTACATGTATTCTAAAATATGCTTTTGTTAATTCAAGATGTGTATTTTCTGTAATTTGTTTTGTATTTACATGTCTAAGTATTATGAAAAAGGCGATTCATAGTTGCTATAACTTTTGTCCAATCTATTTGGAACATTTTGCAATATATTTGTCATTTACGTTTGGTGGGCTACTAGTTTTCATATGAAATATGTTTAGTTACTTGTATATGTTATGTGTAATACCTATCCATCTTGCAGAAAGTATCACATTTATTGTCAGCACGTGGGTTTATATTTATCCACGTGATAACTTATCTTTCATGGTAGGACAAACATTTGTACAATAACTATGTAACTATGATGAATACATAAGATAGTAATTTTCAGTACAGGTATTAGTTAGTGGATTGTCAGCTAAATAAAAACAAGATTGGACAATTAAAATCACGAGCTTAGATAAAGATATATATATCTAAGTCCCATTTAAATAAGGGATGATAGTACGCTGAGTATGGGAAGGTTTTATCTGATGACGAACGCATCTCACGGTATTAATGTATAGATAGATAGAAGTGCCCCACCCCTATTGTGCTAAAATAATATCCAACTCAATCTGTAAATATGTGATATTCGGTGCAGGAGCTGGATACAACCACGTCCGTTGGCCTGGCTTTGAGTACAGAAAAACATTGTGTTTCAGTTAAACTTACGATTACCTCAGGAAGAGACGAATTACCGATATGGTTGTGAGAACCAATTACGAAACATTGATGTTCTGTCCTTTTCTAGTTAGGAAAAATACAGGTTTTAGTAGAATGTATCTATTATGGGTTGGGAAAAGCAATACAAATGCTTAAAAGTGACATATTAATCAAAAGAAATTTACTTTTATGATAATTGTCTCCCCTAGTCTACATTCCACAAAACTTCAAAACATGATATTGTATGGTCCATTTTACAGTTGTACATAAAAATGTGGTTGACCAGATGTAAAGGATACATAAGTTGACCTTGAGGTTGACCCAGATGTATGTGATACTGAGGGTGACCTTGAGGTTGACCCAGATGTATATGATACTGAGGTTGACCAGGCGTATATCATACTGAGGTTGACCTTTAGGTTGACCCAGATGAATATGATACTGATCTTGACCCAGATGTATATGATACTGAGGTTGACCTTGAGGTTGACCCAGATGTATATGTCCCTATAGTTGATATGATATTGAGGTTGACCAAGATGTATATGATACTGAGTTTGACTTTGAGATTGACCCATATGTATATGATACTGAGGTTGACTTTTAGGTTGACCCAGATGAATATGATACTGAGGTTGACCTTGGGGTTGACCTTGGGGTTGACCCAGATGTATGTGATACTGAGGTTGATATGGTATTGAGGTTGACCCCGAAGTTGAACAAGATGTACATGACCCTGTGGTTGACCAAGCTGTATTTGATGTTGAGGCTGACCCTGTGGTTGACCCTGAGGATGACCTCAGTGTACATAACCCTCGAGGTTGACTCCAATCTATATAATCTATATATCATGTAGTTTAAAACAAATATGTAAACTTATCTAGAGAGACTATTTCAACGTCTATCCCTGTCTAATATGGCCATGAGTGCGACTGCAATTTATTCATCATGGCGACACTTTCAACTATGCCTTATCACTATCTCGATAACATGGAGCAGTAATCTTTGTAACAATATGATTACTGTCGGACAATTCAATTGTTCTTAGTACAGCATAACTTCACTTGGATAAAATGAACGAATAAAAACTTTAGCAATTAATACTCTGTAGTTAACGTTAATTACACAAATTCAATGTAAATTTCAGAATTTATCGCATTTTCGTTGTTTTACGGTGATATGAATGCAGTAGGATACCAACATGTTCTAAATATAACCATTAAAAGCAAGAAATTGTAGTCAGATCCCAAATTATTTAACGAATAAATTTCCGACTATCCGAATTTCCGATATCCTGATGACATCATGTCACAATGACGTCATTCGTACAACCATTGCCTACATTGTAATTCCTTGCTCAGTGAAAGTTGATTAATGAAACGTTAAAATGTGAACTGATTTCAAAACATTTCTGTTCTGGTTGTCAAAATATGAAACTATTATAATAAACATATCTATTTCAGTTGACTGATATAGAAAGAGTAGGCTATGTAAACTCAGTCCGATATCGACCCGACCGACACGTCACGATATAGCTGTGCGTTAATGGGTTTAAATACACAACGTTCTGTCTGAAACAACCAGGTAGATATATTTAGCAACGGAGTGTGACTCTCGGTAAATTCAAAACGTGCAGACCGACAGAAAGGCTGACAAAAATATCCGCGTGAAGTCACGACTTGGCCCTGGAGCGAAATCAGTCGAGCGTAACACACAGCGCCAAACTATACCGTATGTTCTACTACCTAGTATAGTATACAGGTATATTATGGTATATCGAAAGCAATATCTTATACAATTCATTGTTAATGATATCACCGAGATGGTTAATTAGGCTCCATGGATGTGCGTCAAGACATGCACACATGGAGAAGATGTTTGTATCAGCTGATCAGTATAATTTATCAATGAATATTTGTACTAGATGGCCAGTGTCGATTTATGTCAAACTGGATACACGTGGAACTCGGTTGGAAATTTCACACAATAGGTAAGTTTCTCTTGGAAGATTATTTCCTTGGGAATTTTGTCTTTAGCTATCTTTTATTTAACATGGTTGTATTTGATAGATCGATGAATGAATCAAGGTGTCTTGATTTCAGCTTCTATAACCCGGTTATACCATCAGTAAACAAACTTTGATAAATATCATCGGAATTACATGGTTATTGATAGAAATCGTATCACGAAGTTGCGTCTCAACCTCTGTTGCTTAATAATACTTATTCGACGTGGGCATGTATTCGTGTTAACTCCTGTTATCGCTGGATAATAGAAAGAAGTTGTACTGTAAGGGTTGAGGGCAATACAGTGTATTGTAAGATGATGGTATTGTATAGGGTTATAATGACTCTAGAGGAAAGGACTATATAACTGTTGTATTGTGTGGGAATTCATGTAATAGTAGAGAAAGTGATGGAGTGGGGATTGATGAGGGCAATACAGTGTACTGTAAGATGATGGTATTGTATAGGGTTATAATGACTCTAGAGGAAAGGACTATATAACTGTTGTATTGTGTGGGAATTCATGTAATAGTAGAGAAAGTGATGGAGAACGGATTGATGATGGTGTTTGTTATGTATGGGTATTAAATATGACAGAAGAGGGAAATTATTGTATTTTGGGGGGCTTTATATGAAGAACAGGAAAAATATGATGGAGTGGAGATTGATGAGGGCAATACAATGTGTAGTCGGGTGTTTGTTATGTATGGGTATTAAAGGAAAATATGATGGGGTAGGTATGATGAGGGCGATATTATGTGTCTGTAGTCGGGTGAATGTATTGTATGGGTATTAATATGACAGAAGAGGGAAATGATTGTATTGTAATGGAATTTATATGAAAGAACGGGGATAGGAATTGATGAGGGCGACAAAATGTGGAATCCGACATGTATTACAATCGAAAGTGAATTATTAAGCCCTTTTGCTACAAAAGGTGAAAATCGATGAGGGCGATAAAATGTGAAGTCGGGTAATTGTGCGGATTGGTATTAATATGATAGATGGGGGAAATGTGATGGGGTAGGGATTGATGAGGGCGTTACCATGTCAAGTCGGGTGATTGTACTGTATGGGTATTAGTATGGTAGATGGGGGAAATATGATGCGGTAGGGATTGACGAGGGCGTTACAATGTCAAGTCGGGTGATTGTACTGTATGGGAATATATGACAGAAGAGGGAAATTATTGTAATGTATGGGGATTTTTATGACAGTAGCGAAAAACTATGACGGGGTAGAAATTTATGAGGGCGATACAACGTGTAGCTGAGTGATTGTATTGTACGGGGATTTATAGACCATTAGGGAAAATATAGGTAGGAATTGATGAGAGCAATACAATGTGTAAATGGGTGATTGCATTGCATTACAGAAGAGGGAACTTTCTTTATTATATAGGGATTTAAATGAAGGGGGTGGGGGTTAGGAATTGATGAGAGCGACACAATATGGGGTCAGACGTGTATTACTTACTCTTATTAAACCATTTGCTACCAATGCTGTAAGTTGACTTACTGCTTCTTTTCGTTATGTCAGAGAAATGCTTATGATAAGCTGCAGTTTTCATGACGTATACAGCATTATTCATCTTCTGGATTCGTTTAATGGCTCAGTGTTGGGTTTTCTTTTTCTTTATTCACTTAAATTCTTAAATTGACTATCAAAAATAAATTGGTCAACATTATTATATTGCACTGGTGGAAAATATACTCCTATATTACATGGTATGCAAACACACAAAACTAACAATGCTGTCCTTTTTATATTGTAATTTAATATGTGTACGTAGTGTCACACATGTATATATATTATCTAATTAATTTATCTAATTTCCGGTTGTTTATTTGATAAAGACAGTCGTATATGTTGCAGGGCCCGAAGGTAAAGTTCGCTGTTAACGGGGAGTCAAATTGAAACAAACCTGGATATAACAGCGTGCCGGAAATAAACGGTTTTACATTTATAATCTTATGTACATTCATTTTCATAATATGACATCCATCGTTAAATGTTCAATCTACTCTGGACATATGAGAAAACTGATGAACGTGCTAAACGTGATTTTTGTCTTTTTAAGTTGACAACGTTAACATCACGTCCTAATAAAATTACTGTTATATTCGTTATACATCTATAATAAGCCTTCGGGTAATTTAATCAAAGTTGGATGTTGCGGTCCACTATTGAAAGGTCTGTATTGGTTCTTTGAATAACGTAACCTCCACTTTTCTCTTCTCTTATCAATTTCATGTTGACATGATTGTATTGACAAAATATCAAGTACTTCGTTTTTTATAATTCTGAAAACTAAACACGAAGAGTGGGTAAATTGGAAGTATATTTCGAGTACTTACTAATTCACTTTATTTGTCAAAATAATGGTTACCAATCTCATTATTGACAAACGCGTAACACATTCAACTCAGTGTTCTTGCCCCCTTCCTCCCGGTTCCCGCCTTGAAGTGTTCTTGATTTCTTGTCACGGTTTTCAAAAGTTTCCAAATCTGAGAAAGGATAGTTCCACTACATAATCATCGTTCAATTTAACGTGCCTGAGTTCATTGTAAAATCTAGCCTTTTTATCTTAGTTACACCTTCTTAAATTAATACTGGAGTAATTAAAGTAAACTGCGAAATAAACCAAAAAAATGGTTTAAAGTAAAAATCTACGTAAATTTCTGGATAAGAGTAAGGTTATTTATATAATATATATACCTGTGAATTGTATTGTCTTGCGAATATATTACATTATGATAATCAGTTTGTCGAAATGATTCATCTATCTGATGTGACGTAAACACTATGTCTATATTCTGGAGATCTATCGAGTTAATGGGTCTCAATGACATGCATTCCGGGCGTCTTGTTTATTTCGTTGCGCTCGGCTGAATAGCTGACCTTTTAGGTCAAATAACAGCGCCGTCTGGCGACCTAAATCTGAAAATACACATTCTGAATGGAGTAAACCCTGGAATTGTACGGTGTTTATGGAGAGTTTACGGATCAGAATGAGAGATAAATTTATTTCTCGTATGCTGTACAATGAACACAGATGATGTGAAGATTGCAGGATCCAAATTATCCCTGTTATTAGGCGTTAAAGAGCACATAGAATGCTTGTTTGGGGTGCGTGTGGTCTTGCCACCGAATCATGAGAACTTCCTGATTGGTAGGCCTAACATCGACAATGATGTTTGTGAGGAATCTTACCGTGCGACAATTCTTTTGTCGTCAGAGACTTCATCGGAAAATGTTCAAAAGGCGAAAGTAAGTAAAGAAACAACTAACGGAGAAGCTGTAGTTGTAAATATCTTTGGGCGAAGATCTTGGAAGAGGGGACGTAATTTCCACACTAAGGCGATTCTAAACGAGATACAAATGATCCGGATAGACTATATTGAGTTCTTAATTACAACATTACGTCGAACACGACGATAAGACTATTTTACATGTTTTACAATACGGATACAATAATTATCTGTACATGTTCTTTTTCTTAGCTGTTGAATGGTTTAACTACTACACATCATGTATTCAACCAGGAAGTTGACTTTCATGAAGTCTCATAATAGGGGGAAAATGTAATATCACTGTTGACGCTGTATTATCGTTCCAGTTTTTGAACTGGTGTCAACATTATATAACAGAATTCTGAAGTATTGTTAATATCAAGCAATGTACAGTGTATCTCCAGTTTTGCAATATTAACCCAAGCCAGATATCAATCTCGGAACAGTTACGATCTATTCTGAGTCCGCGGATGTGTCAATATTGCGTGTTAGTAGGTTACTATAGTAAATTATTGAATTAATTATGTAAGTTGAAAACAATTTAATGTGTTCGTATAGAGGCCTGATATAGCACATATTTAAACGCTATCATGTTCGCAAAAAAGTTTCGTTTCGAAAAAGGACTTGCATCACACGTCCCAGTTTCGACGTATTTGTCAGATTTAAAGAAAATATGTTATATATAGTTATTATGATTGCTCATAATGTGTATTTATTTCAACGTACTTGAACTTAGTAATACTGTCACAATGTCGGTTGTTTAAGACGAAGAAGGAATAAGCAGTAAATATAGACGTTCTGCTTGAGTGAGTTCTCCCCTAGTGTGTATTATACTAAAATTGTGTGGGTGCACCTGATTCATGGTTCAAATTCGTAATCATTTATATGACCAGTCAATATGAACAACAGACAAGTACTACATTGTGGATGACAAGTATTTCGTACCCAGTCATAACGATCACAATGTCGGAGAAACGCGTGGGTAATACTTTCGTGTAAAGGGAGAGGAAGCTACTTTACTGCGTATCAAGTTTGTTTGAAGTACTAAGTTTTGAGGATTTTACACTGTTGTACTTGGTGGCCTGTACTACGAACTAAGACCTTTCTAGGTCCGTATCTGTACGTTAAATTCAATATAGCTGAGACGGATATTGATAGGTAAGTACAGTGTATATAACATCTACGTATATTTGAAGAACACATGGTCACTGTTATTAAAAATTTAACTCAGACGTGTCGACATGTTGTGAAAAAATTCGTTCATATTGACGGTGAACTATATAACTATATAGGTACAATGTAGTTGTGTAATGTACTGGTCTCCTGGTCGAATAGAGAGATAGAGTTATTGAACCTTTCTATATTTCCCATATAAAAGTTTTTCGGAAGAGAGTCATGGACTTATTTCACAAATATATAGGAGGCTAGGACTGCCAGAAACGTGTTCTTTTAAAAGGAACACAAAACCATGAAATAACCCAAGAAGTGATGATGGACGCATTATGCTATGGCTTTGCGTTCCAATAGTTCCTCTGATTTGATTAAAATCGTTTCACATTTAAGTGTGACGATAGACTGATGAGTCTTGCGAGTCGCATTTATGTGAGCAATGACTGTAATGTTGTGCTGGATTTGTTATCAGTCTTCCTACATTTTATCAGCCCTACCACCTGGTCTTGTCCCATATCTACATATTTATGACACCGAGGTTCAAGGAATGTATGTTGCTTTTAGATGCCCTTCCCTACTATTTATCAAGATAAGACAGTAACTGTTGACCAAGCGGGCCCCTCTGCTGTGTATCAATTTTTATCGACACTTAAACGTCCTATTATAAGTCACGACGTATCTTAATTTATTGAAGGGAATTCACTTTATTCGAACTTCCCTGTTTGACACACACACGTATACATTTGTAATGTACCGATAAAACGTATATATAAGAAAGATACACCATCATTCAGTAGTTTCCAAAGGTTGACCAGTGCAAATAGGTTGCAGTAATCCGGTCATGTTGAAATAACCATCAGTGTATACTTATATATATCCTCAAAGCTGGATTGAGCTAGAACTTGCCGTTGTCTCTCTGTAGACACAGTTGTACCTACACGTACTTAGAACCAAGCTATATAATGCATATCAATCATTACAACGCTGTCGTGGCGCCAGCAGGTAATTGTCGTTTTACGAGGTATATTTATAATATTTGCTATCAGTACAGTACATGACACAAATATATAGTGTAGAATTCAATGTTTTATTGCAATGTATGTATCTTTTCTAGGTAAAAAAGTTTTAATATAGATCGTGAATCAGTACACCACAAGTACTGTTTATGTTCGTTCCCAGAGATAAATAAGCAGTCATCAGAATTAATCATAGATACGCGTACGTTAAATTTTGGACGTGCCTAACAGTACACAAATTAAATTGACATTTTCTGAATTTCCTTTGATTAAAAATCAAATTTACTTCAAACTGTGTACAAGTTAAGAGTCTACATTAATGTGAACTGCATATTAAATTATATTTGCAGATACGTGATGAACTACACGCTGTATTACACGTCATGCAGACATAACCTTTATCCATTTAGTATTGTGTCTTGAGTTGTCGACAGATGTAACATTTATATAGATATACTGTGGTAGATTTACTGGATTTTTCCAGTGAGATGTATAATGTAAGCATATACAATCGGAGTGTGGGCCTATCCATGGTACTTTTTTGGACTTTTAATGATATGGTCAATTTATATATATGTGCTTTGAACTTTTAATGTCATTAATTTTGTTTATTTTAGAACTATATTTCATCACTGACTTCTGAAGGAGAGGAGAGGGCCACATTTACGATTAGTTTAACTGGATCTCAATTAACAATGTTGATAGAAAATCGGGACTCGATAGAGCAGTGTTCCCAGGCCGTACTGGAGCTCGATCGAGAAACCAATATACTTCGTGTCTATGGAAAAGTAGACAATGTCAGATCCGCCGAGTTAATGATAAACATGATGCTGAATAAAGGTGTAGTCGATTCTTCACTGAACCTTAGAAACACAGGGGAGAAATGCGACGAAAATGATGAAAATGACCATGTTTTAGCGAAAAAGGATTCTGAAGAAAATAGGACACAGTGTACACCAGAAATGCAGACATTGCAAGATTCCACTGATGATGATGAAAATGTGTATTGTGAAAATGTGCAAATCCTTACGAGTGAAGATGATTCGAGTTTGCAAACTGACAGCGAACCAGCATGTCATTCCTTTGTGGATTTTTCTGATGGTATCTTAAAACGAGGTTGTGATTCCGTTCCAACACGTGATTTAGACGATGTTAGTGATTTGACTGTCGATACGACAATATCAAAAGATGACTTAAAAACGCAATCAGACGCACACCACATCGAAAAACAATTAACGCACCTCAATTTATCTAGTCCTCACACCGAACTCAAGAGCTCTTCTGACGAAGAGGTAGAAAAGCTCCACAGTGGTGTAGAATATGGCGGGAAGGTGGAGTTTGCCTTAAAGTTGGGCTATACAGAAATTCAATTGAAAACTGTGATAAAAAAATTAGGCCATGAAGCAAGTGAGAATGAAATTTTATTAGAACTTATAAAATTGGGAAAATGTGTAATTCCGGATGAGGAATCTAGACTTGATCCATTAGATAGTGACTTTGGATTAAAAGCACCTGTGTCTCCACACCACAGCACTCCCGATCACATAGGACGGGAATTGGAGTTCGTCGACAAATTCAGACCTGTTGTCATTGACGGCAGCAATGTGGCCATGAGGTAGGTCCAAATAAAGACGGTCACCAAGTACTGGTGGCCATTGAGTAAGTACGATACCGTTGGTATCGCTTTTCACTGGATAAGGACCATTTTTTTATTTATTGTCACTGGGAAAAGATTGTTTGTATTGGTAGTCTTGGGGGTTAGGACCTTAGGTATTTGTTAAAGGGCAAGGACCGATGAAAGTTGTGGTTGTCATGGAGTTAGGACCGTTGTTTTTGGTAGTCAAGGGTATAGGACTGTTGTTATAGGTAGTCATGGGTTAGGACGGTATCGTTGGTATTAATACCGGTAGGCATGGGCTAAACACCATGGCTTGTAGTAGTTTTGACGAACATTTCGTAACCGACAGTAAAGTAGAGAAAGTTTCTTTGTAAACTTCAGGTATTTAGATCCCCATTGCATTGCCCTTTTCAACTAACTGTATTAGGCGCATAGCATGTTTTTTTTTATCTATTTCGGTTGGTCAAAGTAATTTTCTTTTCGTTCACTAGTAAATAGTAGTAAATGACGTATTGTCCCAGTTTTAAAGAGATGAAGTAAATCCATCTTCATATGGAAAAAGGGTAAATGTTGTATTTGAATAAATTTGTTGTGTATTGGTATGCATGGCGAACCTACGAATAGGTAGTACAAACCAGTGTAGTTACTAGGTATGTTGATAACCCTGAAGGAAAATTGGATTATGGATGCTGAGTCTCCGTGTTCTGTCGGATGTTTATGTCGATATTAGGGATATCTAGTATCGCCAGATTTCTTGTTTACTCTAATACTAGATAAAACGTTTAATTAAAATATACCGGAAATATGTAAATATTGTGAGTAATAAGGTGTGCCCAGTCGACTCCAGCTTGTCAGGTGTAGACGTGTTTGTCGCTGTTATGAAGGAGTCGTACCTGTTACATCCTGTCACCAGAGAAAAACACAGTGTTTATTCTTGAATAAACAGCATTCAACACTGAAGTGCATTTCAGGAATACTCGGTCTTGACCATATTTATAGGTACACAAAACGTTTTTGATGAACACGCTTACTTAACTCAGTCTCCAACTGTAAATGGATCTTAGAACAGTACAACTGGACTGACGTCATATAATTATAGAATAAACATGAGTTAAAGTACGACCCTGAATTGCAGGGTAACAGGTTTTAAATGGAAATATTATTAGGTTCACGTATTTACAAAATTATTACGTGTAACATCTATGCCCTTAGACATGGGGACAATTGTAAACTACAAGAAATAATCGCTATTAGCCCATACAAGCACCAACTTTTCACCGTTGGTTCAACTATACTGCACGTATACACAACAGTTGGTTCGAGCGGAATCGCTACACGTGTGTCAATACCACAAGATAACCGAGTTAGTGTAGATGGATAGCAGTTGTAGATTTATAGGAGTAAAATAGGATTTCAGTAGAAGTAGGTAAAAGTTGGTAGTTGGTACAAGATAGCTTTGGTTCGAGCAGGTACATATGGATAGGTACAGGATGATAGGAGCTAGTTCGAATAGAAACCTTTAAAAAACACCACTTTAGGAAGTTATTCGGAGAACATCGTACAACATTTTTGATGATAGTTATGCAGCGATAAGTGGATTTATTAAAAGTAGAAATTTTACACTGAAAGAGGAAAAATGCCCTTCAGATTTTTACGGGGTTTAACATCCTCAATATAGTCATGGATCCAAGAGAGGAAAAGAAAAATATCAAGATCCCGAGTGTTCCATGGAAACAAAGATCTATTTTGGTCTCTTCAATTTTCCCCTTAGTAAAAAACACAGAGGAAAACCCACGATTCTGCTGGTGATCCACATTTGATCGCCTTCTAGAAACACTGCTGAATCCAGCAGACATTGTTCGTGGGCAATCGGATGTCCACTAAACCAATGAGAAGCTAGCAAAATAAAGATAGAAGCAGTATTAGAAAGGACTTATATATCGCACTTTAAATTCACTGGTTAGATCATGATCAAACCAGATCGAATTTTCACACCTCCCACTTATTGACGTAGTAAACCTGTTGGATCAACGCCCACGCCCAATGTGACAATCAACTAAAACACGTAAGGTTGAATGCATGGTATCCTACCTTTTCGTTATGGCCTCGCTTGTTTACATGGGCGTTTTGCTTAATCACATCTTAGATTACAATTCATCTAATACCCCCACATAATCTTAATATTATCGATGAAATAATTGTCAGATATTAGGCTGGCACGCCCGTCTCAGTCTATTGTAGGAATATACATTTGATGTGTAAGAATCGAAGTGATGGGCGTACCCCTTCTGAAAACGTAACGAAAGGGGATACGTTTCCCCGGTCTCTTTGGCAAGTGTTCCATATGCCGTTTTAAGCAAAGTACAGTGTATACTAGTCCGAACAATAAAACGAATTTTAAATATCAAATAATTAATCATGAATATAAATTTGAAGACAAACATTTTCGAACAAAATGCATACATGTAAGTGAAATATGACTATCCACTGAAACAAAAGAGATATACTTCGTTTTACAGTCTTGGAGTTTCAGTTGCAGAATAGACTCCAAGAATATAATTCCCTCGTCTGATGAGCGCGTAATAATCACAAAGTTTTTTTTTTATTTTTTGTAGTCATGGAAACAAGGAAGTGTTCTCATGTCGAGGTATTGAATTGGCAGTGGAGTGGTTTCGAATGCGGGGGCACAAAGATATCACAGTGTTTGTGCCACAGTGGCGCAAGGAAACGTCACGACCGGACTCCAAAATCAGAGGTAGATATTCCCTCTACAGTCGATCATAGTTTACAGGGTTATTGAACCATACAAGGTGACTCTTCTTCGACTGATTTAATTAGTTAAACTGCACTAAATAGTATGGTAATGCCTATCGTGATAAATAATTTGGTATTTAGATGACTTATTTGCATACATGCGGTATGATATACATTATTGAGGAGGCGGTGTTTGCGAAATATTTCCAGGGACAATATGATACAGTCATGTGTTTGTACAGTGTCATGCGATTATCTATTGACTTAAGTTTTTCTCTCCCTACATTTGTGAAAAGACTGTACAAAGGACACAATCGAATGACACCATTCAACACAAATCAGGTATAATTATAATATATTGGCAAACGAGAAATCAACTTTATCTTACAACTGTTTCGACCTGATGACTGGAGACAAAGTGTTGAATATCAAAACATGTCTAAATTCATGTTAAACAATTACAGCAGGTATGTAACCACCTCGGAATTCAGACGTGACTAACACCGCAACACCACTGACCGTATATTTGATTCTCCTCACTGGTGTACAAACCGATGTTGTTGGGCGTATCTCGTTTATCGGCTACGTGTGCCCAGTAACAAACATGGAAGAGATCACTTACCTTTCCATCGTATATAAACTAGAACACGATATACATTTTGACATATCTTGTACGAAAAAATGGTGCAAAATTAACGATCCTTATTGGTATTCTCATATTGTGTTAAGATAAAAAAAAATCTTGTGTATTTTTTACCATACCATTAACAGAGCGTTTTTACATTTACAATGATCTTTGCTATGGTTTAATATAAGCATTAGATCATCTTTATCATCTTTCTGCATCACGATATGTCTAAATATAATTGTGTGAACGATTTTCACATCTCTGTATATAGTTACAGACAAGCCATGCTTTCACTACATCCCGAGTAACTATTTACTTCCCCGTAAATAACCCACTTATTGTGATGGAAAATTCCCATATATCATCACTAACGTATGAACAAGTCTTCTGATTATCCGACTCTCATTTACAATATTAAAGAAAATGTAATATCAGACTTAATATAAATTGTCGGTGTGAATTTCTTTCTATTTAAAGATTTTGTTTATGTCTCTGAGTACTGTATATTATAGTGGATAGCATAACATACATACAATAAAATAATATGTGTTTTTTTTCTTCAAATTCCGATTAATAACTATTAAAGAATTACTAGGACCAGAAGTGCTTGATAGTAGGGTTTGGATGACATCAGTGCTGTCGGATAGGTGGGTATGGGGTTTTAAGAAAGCAAGATAATGTTTACTATTGTATGATGAGGGCGTCCATGAATTCGGGAAGAGAATGAAAGGATAAATATTTTCATGATATTTCACTTTGTACAGATCAAGATATTCTTATTCATCTGGAAAAAGAAAAGGTGTTGGTGTTCACGCCGGCCAGACGAATTGGTGGGAAACGTGTCGTCTGCTACGATGATCGTTACATTCTCAAACTAGCTGCAGAAACAGGAGGCATTGTGGTTTCCAATGACAATTATAGGGACCTTCTCAACGAGAATCCAGAGTACAAAAAAGTTGTAGAGGAACGACTTCTCATGTACTCTTTCGTCAATGACAGGTACGGAATTCACTCAAGATTTTTATTTTGAGCTAGTCAGCTTCCAAAAACACAACCGAATGTGCATGTCCAGACCGTTCCCACACATTTGATTGAAATTTCAGCGATCGTACATTAATTTCAGCATGGATTTTGATTGTGAATATTAACATTGTAGATCAAGCCAACCGCCGAAAAGCTTCGAAATTTTAATAAATTACAATTTTAGGAAAATCATGAAATACCCTAACACTTCAAGTATAAGAAAGTTATCGATCACTTCCTTGATGTCGTCAGTGTTCCTCATACAACAACTGCCCCCTCCCCAACCCCAAATTGTTGAAATTCGCAGCTTGTGCTACCAGTTTTCGTGCACTCTCCCATATACATAGGTTGTTAGGAGACCACTGTAACCCCAGTTTCAAAGGGCATTGGGAAACATTGATCAGATAATTTAAATAGGATATTTCAAAAACACACGCAGTTAATTTGAAAATAATCCTACATAGTTACCCTATTACGCGGTTTAGTGCTTTTGTACTATGTTGGAATACTGGTAGCCAATCATATTGCAATTTACACAATATATAACTTCCATTGATACTCATTTCTTGTCTTGCGTTTTCTTAGATTTCATTAGAAATACACTATATTATAGCATATATGTTTGTTAAAGATGTGTATTTACCGCCGCTATCCTGTAATAGGTTCATGCCTCCAGATGATCCACTTGGTAGACACGGACCTAGTCTGGACAACTTCCTGAGTCGTGAACCAACGGTCCCGCTGTCTTTGCCACCGGTCTGTCCATACGGCATTAAGAAGTGTACATATGGCAACAAGTGCAAGTTCTACCACCCAGAGCGAGGAAATAATCCTCAGAAATCTGTCACAGATATAATGGCTGAACAGACTAAACAGAAGATGCAAGATCTGATGGAGAGAGGGAGCAAAAACGCGGAAGGTATAAAATTAATATTTCGTTATTTAATTTCATTATTTTTTATACAACAACAAAAGGAAATATATTTGACTTGCACATAATGGTGACCAATAACATGCACACTGTGCAATTTTTTAACTCTTACTTGACACAACGCTTTTTTTAAATTTTACATTGATCATATAGCTGCAGATTTGAAACGGTATGTTTTGATATTTTCAGGCGATAAAAAGAAAGTGCTCGTCCGAAAGCAGCAATTGAAGCAAAAGATGTCTTTGCAGCGAACAAGCTCTCTAGCTCCTGTTGATCCTGTAGGTATCGGGTCTCCCCCCGACTTCAGGGACTTGGCCGCGGATAATCCACCAGCACAGAAGGTAGAACAGACAAGTCACAGCGCGGAAAAGACTGAAAAATGGAAATCGTACGATGATAAGCTCACGGGTTATAGGAAAAAAATGGAACAAGCAGAACAAGAAGAAAAGCAGAAGCAAGAGGAAAGCGTCTCTTCAGACGCAGAGTCGTCTACTATGAAGATGGCACCGACGAGCGAATCCTTACATGCGTCATTAACAACCAGTGACCAAATCAATTCCCGGTCGTCTTCGCCGCTACAAAGAGGTAGTCCTACACAACCCATAAAACCACAAGAACAGTTTCTGAGTGGGCATCTCCTTTTGGCAAAGAAGCTTTCGGACGAGGCCGCAGACAAAAAAGCACGACAGAAAGTTCCGGAGGAGCGTGACCTCACCAGGACACCTCCCACAGAATTAAAACAGTCACGTGCTGCTCTACATCGGTGTAACTCTCCTCTAGCCCAGTACAGTCAGCCACAACCGCAAAACCAAATTTTGTCGCACCAGATGTTGTCCGCTGAGCAGCAGCCACAACCTCGTCATCAAAAACTTAGCCGGCAAATGTCGTTCCAGGGAGCAACTGATCCTCGAACGCATCGCCATCTACATCAACAGTTGTCGTATGACCCACGATACGCAAGTCAACAGGCGAACCAGAGACGACAGCAACCTATTCAAGGGAGACAACAAGGATTTTACGATGTACGTGGGTCAGAAAATTTTGGTAATGTTGGTGCAGGCGCCATTGACTCTGGAATGATGCACCATATGCAGAATATTCAGCAGGACACCAGAGGATGTAACGAACCTTTCTTTTCTGGAATTAGTGGGAGACATTTAAATGTTGAGCATGCTACACTAGCCAGAATGCAGAGCGCTCCGGAAGTTCCTCAACTTAGGAGTGCAGCTGCAGCTGCACCAATCGAGAAAATGGCTCGTCAAAACAGCATTTCAGACACACAATTACATAATATAGGTGGGGATATGGAACAAACTGACTATAATTTTTGCGAATTCCAAGGTTCAAGAGCAGACTTCCAGCAAGGAGAAGGGTTTTCCTCTAGTTACGTTGCACGCGGCCCCGGATATGAAGTTCATCAACAGCCGGTATCGCATCAATTCAACCGAGGATATACCCACGGTGCTCCGACATATCCACATAGTCAGACTTACACACAGCCACAAAAACATCATGCTGGAAACACCACTTGGTCTTTCAGCGACAGAGGTTTTGCTCCTGGACAAATTAAACAACCTGCACTTTTTCCAGGATTTCTTCGAAATACACCACACCAGCAATCTCGTTCGTTTCAATTGGTGCAGCCTCGGCCTTCCCAAGCCAAGGAACAAGATCCCAATTTTCGTACGGGAATCCTCACAAAACGTGAAGACGACATCTGGGGACCATCTGTGGTTTCTTCTACTTCGTCGTCCACAGGGTTCTGTTCTCAAAATTATACTCCAGGTGAAAATCGCTATGGTGACATTCCAAGAAGCCAGTCAGGGATAGCCTCTCAAGTTTCCAATCAAAACCGAGGCCTCATTGGCCAATCTAACCTGCCAGCGAATAGTCAAAGCGCTTGCCATAGTCAATCGGCGGCGGAAACATCTAGGACGTCTTCGCCAATGTTTGTCGAGGATGCACCAATACCTCATAGTGACTCCCGTTACAGCGTATACTTCCACCTTTGTGGACTGTTCCCAGAACAGAAAGTTAGGACTGTCATGAACCAACACCCAGATCTGACTGATGGGCAGGAACTATGTGCTTACATCATCGGGGCGAAATGAGTGGACATGTCGACCCATTAACAGTGCTTTTGTGGGTGCGACTGAAAAGATTACGCTTTTACACCAGCGAGAGTAACGAGAGAGTGTAGTCAGATATTGAAAATGGTATGAAAATCGCTGAACAGTTATGCGTTGATTGTGGTAAATATCACACAATGTTACGAACATCCTTTACTATATTGAAGTAGTTAGTCTTTTTCGGACAATATTTTGCGGTACGTGAAGAGTTTATTTTCAATTAATTAAGCGCTTTTAGTTTATTTCTAATTTTAAGATTGTAATTACGAACATTATCAAAGGACATTTACGATTAACTACAGTTTCATCTTCTATATACAAATATATTTCAGTTATGTAATATTCAAAAGAATCTTTAATCAGAAGTCATTATAGCCTAGCGATAGGACAGGAAAACTCATCCGCCCTACATCAATACTCCATCGAACATATTGTTCTCGTTAAGAAACCAGACAAATCGGTAGGGTAACTGATGAACATGTTATACTTATGCGATTATGTAGCTATGTATTGCATGCTTAGGAGGAAATAGAATACGTCTTTAATTGTTGAAATACGTTCTTTCACAATGCTGGAATCAGTATTACAAGAGCGACAGTTACAAAAGTATCAATGCAATTTAGGATGATCTATCAGGGGAGACAGAAACTAGTGTAATGCTTACGTGAAGTTAGGGACATCATATAGAAGACAGGTACGAACATCAAACTTGGGTAGAACTTCGGGACGTCATCCATCAATAAGAGACATGGGAGACACACTTGAAGTATGACCAAGTTGGTCCTTTAAGTATTACATGCACTTTTATATTTCCTGCATTTCTTATATTAAGAATTTTAATTTTCCCTTAAACGCATTGCTGGCGTCAAATTGTATCATTGTGTTCTCCATCCAGTACTATGAAACTATTATACATAGGCAAATCGTTGTATCATGTTTTGTAAACTAGTTTTTCTCAAGCAAGACATCAGATAATGAAGCGTTATACTAAATAATACAGTCCTTTAAAATTGATTGTGATATAGCACTATTGGTAGAGTTCGGGTCTTCGGAACCTAGTGGGGACTATTTGGGTAGCTGAGGCAGCGCGTTTGTCAAAATAAGGTACATTGACTGTTGCGTTAGATTAATGGAAGTGCCAACGTGCGTTTGAGTTAGTGTTGTGAGAAAGAGTATGATGGAAGGTTGTGCCAAAAGATGAAGATACGATTATAGGGAACGGAATATGATTCTAAGATTAACTCTAGGGGTAAACAAAACCTTATCACATGACTTCCACACCAAATAAGATCGTTGTTTTCTATCATGTGGTTGTTATACACATTACTTCAGCAGTAAGCTGGAGTGATATATTGATTAATGTAGTACCACATGGTACGAGAATTCTTCTAAATCTCCTCAACGTTTGACAGCTTTTAATGTCTGTAGAAAGGTATGTGAAACGTTGAAGTGAATCTGAAGAATTGTAATAAGGTTTTAAAATTGAACGTCATCAAAAGGTTTTGATACGTCGTCAAATGTTTGATACAAATACAGTGTCATGTCAAGTCACCAGTTAGGTGAACAGTAATTAGTACCTCTTTTTGAGGCAATATATTTTTATGAGTATCATACGTGTATTGTTTTAGGTATTTGTGTGGAATAACTATAATTCACATGTTGTAACCGAGCTGTCTGTTCGTCACACACTGTACACAATGGATTTTTGTAAAGTGAAAATTTTTCCTGATTTTGGTCAATTTTCTTATGTGAAAATATTCCACATTAAGGAAAATCATTAAACAACCAGTCATTTTCACTCCACGAACTTGTCCTCTTGGACGGTGAATCCCCTTTTCTGTACTTTACGGCCCTGGCTGTTGTCTCCTAGACACTGTCTTTGGACGTAACCTTCGGTATTGTTCTACTGTTGTACTCGAATATTCTGCTTATGGCGAAATATTAAAGGGTTGACAATTAAGATATTTTGTGTTTTTGTGCTATTTAATTCCATACATATTTCTAATATCCTACTTTGGAGGCGCAGTTATATATTTATAGATTCTTAACGATTTCCTGCTATATGTACGTTGTGTCAAAAGTCCAGTAATACACAACCCATAATGTGGCTATGAATGACGAGACGAAACAATAGGGAAAGATCTCGTGGACGGTATAGAATGATTCTTGGAACACAACCAGTAGAAGATTTGAGTATGATGTTAGTTTCGATGACCACGCGGTCACCTTTATCAGAAACCTTTCCATCGCGTAAAGTACGTAAGTCAGTGCTAGTACGCTTCACACTGGTCATTTTTCTGATGAAGGTGACCATGTAGTCATAGAAATGTCACAATCGAATTTTCTACTGGCTGTGTTGTAGGAACTTTTTCATTCTATCGACATTACCAACATGAAGAAAATGTCCCGAGAAATGTGACCTCCAAACAAACTTAATAACAATGAATGAGGAGACAAAACTTAGACAAGGATATCCTTGACCCCTTCTCAAACTCGAATAGCAATTTATGTGGATACAAAACAATGGATATCCTTGACCCTTTCTAAAACTCGAATAGCAATTTATGTGGATACAAAACAATGGATATACTTGACCCTTTCTAAAACTCGAATAGCAATTTATGTGAATACAAAAATATGGATATCCTTGAACCCTTCTAAAACTCGAATAGCAATTTATGTGGATACAAAATAATGGATATCCTTGACCCCTTCTCAAACTCGAATAGCAATTTATGTGGATACAAAATAATGGATATCCTTGACCCCTTCTCAAACTGGAATAGCAATTTAAATGGATACAAAATAATGGATATCCTTGACCCCTTCTCAAACTCGAATAGCAATTTATGTGGATACAAAACAATGGATATCCTTGACCCTTTCTAAAACTCGAATAGCAATTTATGTGGATACAAAACAATGGATATACTTGACCCTTTCTAAAACTCGAATAGCAATTTATGTGAATACAAAAATATGGATATCCTTGAACCCTTCTAAAACTCGAATAGCAATTTATGTGGATACAAAATAATGGATATCCTTGACCCCTTCTCAAACTCGAATAGCAATTAATGTGGATACAAAATAATAGATATCCTTGAACCCTTCTAAAACTCGAATAGCAATTTATGTGGATACAAAATAATGGATATCCTTGACCCCTTCTCAAACTCGAATAGCAATTTATGTGGATACAAAATAATGGATATCCTTGACCCCTTCTCAAACTGGAATAGCAATTTAAGTGGATACAAAATAATGGATATCCTTGACCCCTTCTCAAACTCTAATAGCAATTTATGTGGGTACAAAACAATGGATATCCTTGACCCTTTCTAAAACTCTAATAGCAATTTATGTGGATACAAAACAATGAATATACTTGACCCTTTCTAAAACTCGAATAGCAATTTATGTGAATACAAAAATATGGATATCCTTGAACCCTTCTAAAACTCGAATAGCAATCAATGTGGATACAAAACAATGGATATCCTTGACCCCTTCTAAAACTCGAATAGCAATTTATGTGGATACAAAACAATGGATATCCTTGACCCCATGGAAAACACGAATAGCAATTTATGTGGATACAAAATAATGGATATCCTTGACCCCTTCTCAAACTGGAATAGCAATTTAAGTTGATACAAAATAATGGATATCCTTGACCCCTTCTCAAACTCGAATAGCAATTTATGTGGATACAAAACAATGGATATCCTTGACCCCATGGAAAACACGAATAGCAATCAATGTGGATACAAAACAATGGATATCCTTGACCCCTTCTAAAACACGAATATGTGGTGTATCCCTCAAGACTCGTGATTACCGGTTATCATCCTTTGTCGCCAAACGGACACAAGTTGGAGTATGGTAATTTGTCAAAATGGTGGAAATGTATATGGCTAATGTTCGGTAATGCCCGAATTATGTTAGGTTTCAAATCAGTGCACACACTAATTATGTTTATAAGTTTATTACATTGATCAACCGGATCCATAATTCTCAAATATCACGGATCGATGTTTTAAAATAACGAGTAATTATTTTATGAATTCGGGAGTAGGCCAGTGTTTCGAACCTCTTATATTTTCTGCCGATGAAACAGATGACTATCACATCAGTGTTAATGACCATCACATCAAAGTTACTGACCATCACATCAAAGTTACTAACCATCACATCAAAGTTATGGACCATCGCATCAAAATTAATGTTTATCACATCAAAGTTACTGACCATCGCATCAAAGTTACTGACCACCACATCAAAGTTACTGACCATTACATCAAAGTTACTGACCATCGCATCAAAATTTATGTTTATCACATCACAGTTACTGACCATCACATCCAAGTTAATGACCACCACATCAAAGTTACCGACCATCACATCAACGTTACTGACCATCACATCTAAGTTACTGACCATCACATCAAAGTTACTGACCATCACATCAAAGATAATGGTTATCACATTACAGTTACTGACCATCACATCAAAGTTACTGACCATCACATCAAAGTTACTGACCAACACATCAAAGATAATGACCATCACATCACAGTTACTGACCATCACATCCAAGTTTATGACCACCACATCAAAGTTACCGACCATCACATCAAAGTTACTGACCATCACATCAAAGATAATGACCATCACATCTAAGTTACTGACCATCACATCCAAGTTAATGACCACCACATCAAAGTTACCGACCATCACATTAACGTTACTGACCATCACATCAAAGTTAATGACCATCACATCAAAGTTACTGACCATCACATCTAAGTTACTGACCACCACATCAAAGTTACTGACCATCACATCAAAGATAATGGTTATCACATTACAGTTACTGACCATCACATCTAAGTTACTGACCACCACATCAAAGTTACTGACCATCACATCAAAGTTACTGACCACCACATCAAAGTTACTGACCATCACATCTAAGTTACTGACCATCACATCAAAGTTACTGACCACCACATCAAAGTTACCGACCATCACATTAACGTTACTGACCATCACATCAAAGTTAATGACCATCACATCAAAGTTACTGACCATCACATCTAAGTTACTGACCACCACATCAAAGTTACTGACCATCACATCAAAGATAATGGTTATCACATTACAGTTACTGACCATCACATCTAAGTTACTGACCATCACATCAAAGTTACTGACCATCACATCAAAGATAATGACCATCACATCTACGTTACTGACCATCACATCAAAGTTAATGACCACCACATCAAAGTTACCGACCATCACATCAACGTTACTGACCATCACATCAAAGTTACTGACCATCACATCAAAGTTACTGACCATCACATCTAAGTTACTGACCATCACATCAACGTTACTGACCATCACATCAAAGTTACTGACCATCACATCAAAGTTAATGACCATCACATCAAAGTTACTGACCATCACATCAAAGTTACTGACCATCACATCAAAGTTACTGACCATCACATCAAAGTTACTGACCATCACATCAAAGTTAATGACCACCACATCAAAGTTACCGACCATCACATCAAAGTTACCGACCATCACATCAACGTTACTGACCATCACATCAAAGTTACTGACCATCACATCTAAGTTACTGACCATCACATCCAAGTTAATGACCACCACATCAAAGTTACCGACCATCACATCAAAGTTACTGACCATCACATCAAAGTTACTGACCATCACATCAAAGTTACTGACCATCACATCAAAGTTAATGACCACCACATCAAAGTTACCGACCATCACATCAACGTTACTGACCATCACATCAAAGTTAATGACCATCACATCAAAGTTACTGACCATCACATCTAAGTTACTGACCATCACATCAAAGTTACTGACCATCACATCTAAGTTACTGACCATCACATCAAAGTTACTGACCATCACATCAAAGATAATGACCATCACATCTAAGTTACTGACCATCACATCCAAGTTAATGACCACCACATCAAAGTTACCGACCATCACATCAAAGTTACTGACCATCACATCAAAGATAATGGTTATCACATTACAGTTACTGACCATCACATCTAAGTTACTGACCATCACATCAAAGTTACTGACCATTGCATCAAAATTAATGTTTATCACATCAAAGTTACTGACCATCGCATCAAAGTTACTGACCACCACATCAAAGTTACTGACCATTACATCAAAGTTACTGACCATCGCATCAAAATTTATGTTTATCACATCACAGTTACTGACCATCACATCCAAGTTAATGACCACCACATCAAAGTTACCGACCATCACATCAACGTTACTGACCATCACATCTAAGTTACTGACCATCACATCAAAGTTACTGACCATCGCATCTAAGTTACTGACCATCACATCAAAGTTACTGACCATCACATCAAAGATAATGGTTATCACATTACAGTTACTGACCATCACATCAAAGTTACTGACCATCACATCAAAGTTACTGACCAACACATCAAAGATAATGACCATCACATCACAGTTACTGACCATCACATCCAAGTTTATGACCACCACATCAAAGTTACCGACCATCACATCAAAGTTACTGACCATCACATCAAAGATAATGACCATCACATCTAAGTTACTGACCATCACATCCAAGTTAATGACCACCACATCAAAGTTACCGACCATCACATTAACGTTACTGACCATCACATCAAAGTTAATGACCATCACATCAAAGTTACTGACCATCACATCTAAGTTACTGACCACCACATCAAAGTTAATGACCACCACATCAAAGTTACTGACCATCACATCAAAGTTACTGACCACCACATCAAAGTTACCGACCATCACATTAACGTTACTGACCATCACATCAAAGTTAATGACCATCACATCAAAGTTACTGACCACCACATCAAAGTTACTGAC